TGGCTGCGCGGCGTGACGGCGTGCCCAGCGCGTCACCGCGAGGCGTTCCGCTCCTGCGCTCGCGAGGGGGAGGGGAGGGGGGAGGGCGTCGCGGTGCGGTGGCCGGGAGACATCTTGTTCTTCCCCACAAGGGAATGGCACGGCACGGCGGCAGGTTCCACTGCCACGGCGATGCGCGCGATGCGTATACACCGGCAGAGGAAACAGCCAACCACGCGCTCGTCGTCAGTGTATGAAAAATGGTGTGGCGGCGCCGCGCCTCGCGTGGCCTCGCGCGCCAGTGCCTGCCGTGCCTGCTGCTTGGGCTTGTTAGCGCGGCCGTGTCAAGGCCGAGACCCTCCCCCCTCCTCCCCGCCCCGCACCCACACCCCCTTCCGCTGCCACCGGCACCGAACGGCCGGCCAGATTTGAAGGGGCGCGGCGCCCAGCGTACTCGGCCCGGCGCTGCGGGCAGTGCGGGCACTGCCGCCTTGATTGATATGCAAATGCACGGCAGCGAGGCAGGGGCGTTGCGGCCGCCGTGCTGCAGTGGTCGTTGTTGCCCCACACTGACCGACCGGGAGGCAGGCCGGCAGGCAGGCCCTTCGTCGCTCTGTCTCTGTCGGCCTCGTCGGACACTCCTCCCGGGTGCGAGAGAGAGAGACCGCGCGTCGGAACCACACGACTGCCCTCACTGGCCGCGGGCTGGCCTGGCGGCACGGACGGCGCCGCGTCCCTTTGTGGCACGTGCGCGTCGTCGGCCGTCACAGGGCCCGGGGGAGGGGAGGGGGTCGTTTTTGACGTGGCGCCTCAGCGGCATGGCCGGGCATGGCGATGGCGCCCTCCCCTCCCCTCTGGCGCCGACGCCGCCATTGTTGTTGTTGTTACTGGATGCGTCGCGGCGCCTGGCTGTCCGTCCGGGGAGCCCCCCCCCCCTCTTTTTCTGTCCCCGGGAAGTGGAAGTGGGCCTCGCGCGCTTCCGGGCGTGGGGCGCGCGGCGGGGCGCAAAACAAGGGGCTGGGCAGCCGGAGTGGCCGTCTGTGATGTAAGCTGATAATTGCGTGAGGAGAGGGTCTTGAGGCGTAATGCTTCATTCGGGGGACCGTCCATCCCGTTTCTCGTATCAGGAGGACCTCAGCCAGCGGACGGCGGGGGACTGTGTCCTCAGCCTCGCACGCACTGAACGACGTGAACGCTTGAATCTTTGGGCAGGCAAAGAAAACCAGGAAAAGGGGGGGGGGGCTGGCTATCGGTCCAATGGGCTGGCTGGAGCCTGGCTTGCCCCAGGCCCGGGCTGGGTCGCCGATTGCCTCCCCCAAGTAGGTCAGATCCCGGCTGGCGCCCCCCTGCCGGCCCCGCCGCGCCCCGCCGCGCCCCCCTGGGCCCCCTGGTATCGACCACTGCGTCGCTCCTTGTCTGGGCCGCGCGGCGTACAGGGCTGCGCGCCGCTGTGCCCCCGCCTGACGCACTTTCCGCGAGGTAAACTATTGAGAGAGAAAAAGAGGGAGGGGGTGAGGCCATGAAGCCTGCATGGCAACAGATGCCGCTGCATTGTTGCCCCCTCCGGCGCCCCCTTTACTGGCCCCCTGGTGGGCGCCCCCCTCGGGGCTGCCCGGGGCCTCTGTGCGCGCCGCGCCGCGTTTGGCTTTCCTTTGTCCAGCGGAGCTCTTGGAGGTGACTTGCACTTCGTTGTTGACGGAAGGAGGGGGGGAGGCGGCGAGGGGGCGCGTGATGGTGGGTTTGGGGGGCGGGCCGTGATTGGATGATCCAGGCTCCAGGCGGGCGACGTGCTGGTGCCTCGGGGTGCGGCCTTGGCGCTCGAGGCGCGTTCGAGGCTGTCGCGTGGCGCCTCCCAGCCTCGAAGGCCGCCAAGGCCGCGTAGGGGATGGAGTGGCGCCTGGCCGGATCGGGGTCGCGCGGGGCCTCGTTGGGTCACGACACTGTGCGCCCTGCTGACCGATGCTGACCGCGAGACGGCCCTCGGGGTGACTGACTGAGGTGAGGCGGATCTCTGGCAGCAGGAAACAAGGGAACGGGCTCACTAGTCATGAAGGCCTACAGCAGCGGCTAGCGCCTGCAAGGCCCGGGTAGGCCGCGCCGCACTGCACGCGAGCGCGGCGGCACTGCCTACCCTCACGGCGCGCTTCGGGTGCTTGAACTTGCAGGGAAGGCGCGGCACTGCAACTCGACACGGCTGCGGCGTGCTGCGACACTAGACTCCGGTGACTGGAGCCTCCAGGCCGGGCAGGCCGCTGCGCCTAATGGGCCGTGAGAGTGTTGAGTGTTGTTGTGGTGCCGGAACGCGCCACGCTCCGCCAGAGGGCGTGGCGACGCCGCCTCGGTCGGCCCGGACCGACCCGGGCGTAGCGGGACGTGGCTCGTTGCCGCCTTGTTTCGATGGGCCTGCGTTGCGTTTTGGAGTGTCGGTTCGTTGGCCGGCTTTGGGTGCGGGGCGGGGCGCCGCCGGGTGACGCAACGCCTGGTTTTTGGGGCGGATCGGCGGGGTGGCTCCGCGGTGCAGCGGACACGGGTGGGCTTTACATGAAGAAGTGGGTCGGGGAAACCCCTCAAAGTTCGGGAAAGTCCGTTGCGTCCTGCCTGCGACCTGGGCTTGGCCCGTGGAGGAGGCACCGTCCGCTAGGAAAGGGCTGCACTCCATCGGTTTGATCGTGGTTTCATTTTTTTTTTTTGCGCCAGTAAGCGAAGCTTGCGGCGTTGGTCGACCTGCTGGGCGTTGCAGGCGTTATGGCATCCCCCCCCCCCCCTTGGGCGTTCGCAGCCTGCCGATCCCGCTCGGTTCGCACGTCGTGATTGCTGCGTCTGCCGCGTCGCGCCCCGCTCGTCTCGTCTCGCTTGATGTAGGGCGTGGCAGGTGCGTGGCCCCGCGCCCCGCGGCCGGGTTGACACGCTTCGCCAAGGTTGCGGTCGGCGAGCCTGCGCTAGCCTGCCGCTGGTAATCCTGCTCCCGGTCGGCGGCGCACGGTACGGCACGGCACGGCTGTCATTTGCATCTGGCGCATCTGCCACGCCCCGCCGCGCCCCGCAGCGCATCTGGGCGTTTTCATCGCCGCGTGGGTGAAAGCACGCCCGCTCCTGGACGGGCTTGACGGCGTGCTGTCCCTGCCGGTCCCCGCCGGGCCGATCCACCGCTAATCCGCGATAGCTGAGCGCGCAGTGCGGGTGCAGTGCGTGGCTCGCCGGTTTTTCTGCTTATCGCGGCGCGGGCGCGGTGCTCCCAGAATGCAGCGTCCGCGTCGCGCGCTGCGGTGGCGGCAGTCTGACGCCGAGGAGGACTGCTACCGTCTGCCTGCGGCACCGCGGCCTCTCTCGCACTGGCGGAGTGTCCCCAAGGGTGCGAGAGAGGCGGCCGCCTGCTGGCGGCGCGGGGCCGTGCGCTATTGGCGTCGGTGAGTCAGTCGCAGCACTGTCCGAACGACGGGACGGGCGACCCGGCTGGCGGGTTTGTCTGGTCCCTGGCCGCCGCGCGCTTCGCTTCGTTACAGCTACGCCGCTGGGCGTGTTGGGCCCCGAGAGGCGTGGCGCGGCGCGGCGCTGCAGGGAGGGGACACGCGACCGACGCGGCGGCCCTGACCGCGCGGGCGCGCACGGTGGGGCGGCTGCGGTATGGACCACGCGGCGGTGAACTCGCTGCATGCTGCGGCCGCCGTCTGCTGCGCTTCTTGCGGCGGCCCGCTGGCCTTTGAGGGGCGCAGGCGCCACGTGCCCGGCGGCCTGCCGGGGGCGGCGGGCGGCGCCGCGGGGCCCAAAGCTGTTGATCCCATTGCCGGGATCCGATACATCCGATTGCGGTGGCCGGCCGAGCGGCCAAGCGCGCGGCGACGGTGGGCACGGCCTTTGCGGTGGAGGGGCCTGCGGCGTGGCCGGCGGGGCCTGCGGGCGTGGCGGCCCGGCGACACTGCACTGCCGGCCGGGCCGCGCCCTCCTCCCTCATGTCGTCGTCGTGAAGGTTGTCGGGCAGGTTTTTCGGAAGCTTTAATGAGTGCGGCTGGGGCCGTCTGTCTGTGTGTGTGTGTGAGTGTGCGTACGTGCGTGTGCCCACGCATCGTGGATGCCGAGTCGATAACCCCCCGACGGAAGACGAAGACACCGCCAGGGCGTTCGGCGAGTGGTTTAGTGTCGCACCTCTTCGCCCACGGCCCTTGCCCACGGCCCTTGCCCGCGTCGTCGCTGGCCTGCCCACGGAACGCAGGAACGCCCCAAGACCCGCAAAGGGTAGACTGGCCCGCGACGCGCGACGCGGCCGCGGCTCTTGCGCTGCCTCGAGTCGAAGTGGAGAGCGACCGAGAGCGGCGCCTTGCCTTTCTTGACGTTTAAAAGCTCGGCCGTCGTAAAGCAAGCAAGCTTAGCACTCACTCGTCGGGGCGCGGCGGGGCGCCGTGCGCCTGCCCGGCCTGCGCGTTTTAATGGCCACACGTGGCTCGCCGTGCCTGCGCTGCCGCGCCTCGGTTTCATAAGCGATTCTTCGCAAAACACTGCACGCACGGACGGGCAGCCGGGCAGGACGCTTGCTGGCTGTCTCTTCTACGCAAGGCGTGGTGGCTCTCCGGCCGAGGGGCGGGGCGCGGCGGGGTCCCGATGCCATCGCCACCTTTCTACTCGTCCGTCATCGCCCACACGCCCTTGTGTGCGTGGACTGCACGCCGGGCGCGCTACGCGCTCGCAGGGCTCGCGGGGCAACCTCCCCTCCCCCCTTCCTCCACCGCTCTGCCTTTTCTTCAAACAGGAAGCGAGCAGTGTATAGCCAACCGCGTCGCGGCCTGGCCCGTACAGCGCGGCTTGTTTTGTCGGGAAATACTGCACGTCCTTGTACGAAGCTTGAAAGACAGACACACACATACGCGCATACACACTGTACGGCGAGGATTTTGTTTGCGGCGAGCTGTTGGGAAGGAAGGCCTCCCCCGGTTTCTGGCCCTCTAAGAATAGCCTTTTTGACAGTGTCTGATTTGTTGTTTTGTGTTTAACTGGTTTGTTAACGTCCGTCTTCTTTTTCGTTGCAGGTAGGTGGTGGCAGTAAATGGACAAGCGGCAGCGACCGAGCTAGTTTATTGCGTTGGTAAGCCTTTCAGCGGCGAAGGGGGGTAAAAATGGAGTGTGTCCCTCGGGGCCCGTAGGCTGGGCTGGGCCGGGCCTGGGCGTGTTTGCAGGGAAAGGGGGGTGTTGCCTCGGGGCGTGCTGCCTGGCCGGACTGGCCCGTGCCCCCTCAAGTAAAAAGATGGAAACGGTGTTTCCTCCCGTTTTCCCCGTTGCTTGTCCCGGGCAACGTGGTGCAGCTCCCTGCCCTGCCGCCCCTCTCGGCGTGCGTACCAGTGTGGTGGGGTGGGTTCGGTCCTGCGCCTTGTCGGTATGCAACCGCGCCGGCAGCGCTGCCTGCGCTCCGGCGGTGGCGCTAGGTGGAACTATGGGAATCGGGTCAAGCTGTGAGATTGGGGGGGCCTGTGATCGAGTGCCCGCGCTGTCACGTCGCCCGGGCCCAGACGCAGTGCGTGTGCTCATGTCAATTGAACCTTTCCCAGTGATGGGACACAGGTGAAGCCCAGTGCGGTGGCAAGGCGGGCCTTCACTTTAGCGCGCGCGAGGCGCGTGGCACTCGTTTGGAGTGGTGCCTGGCCGATTCTTCGGCCGGGGCCCTGAGGGTGGTCCGGAGTTCGACGCTAGAGCCGGCTGCTGGCTGTTGCAGACCGACCGAGCAGACACCCACCATGGCAGACACGAGCCAGGCCGAGCAGCCCCCGCAGACCAATGGCTTCGCCAACGACGGGCTGGACGAGGAGGACCGCGAGAAGATGCGCCCCGCCGACATCGACGCCGTGAGTGTCGGAATGACCTGTCTTGCGTGCGCCGAGCGGTGCGGTTCTGACGTACGCCTTGTCCTCCCCTTTTCCAGGACGTGCGGGAGATGGAGAGGCGGAAACGCGTCGAGATGATCATGAACAGCCGCCTCTTCCGCGAGGAGCTGGAGCGCATCTTCGAGAGCCAGATGAAGGACGGCGGCGCCGGACCGGGCGGGCTGCTGCAGCAGCTCTCCGACATGATGGGCCACGGCGGCCCGCGCTTCCAGACCTCCAACATGTTCAGAAGTAGGTGCAGCAGTGCGGCGGCTTCTCTCTGGGCTGTTTGCCTCAGTGGTTGCGCGCTTGCAGATTTTTAATGCGAATTCTTTTTCTTTCTCGCAGGTTCAAATTGCGTCATTCCCATCAACGACATCCGGGGGCTGGAGTCGATGGGGTACTCGAAGGGGGAGAAGGTGCTGCGGTGCAAGTTGGCTGCCGTCTACAGACTCATGGACCTCTATGGCTGGACTCAAGGAATCCACAACCACATTACTGTGAGCCTAAATCCATCCCTTTGTTTCATTGTCGACGTCCTTACATCGCTCACTGTCTAATTGACTTTCTTGTCTTCCCACTTTTTGCAGGCCAGGTTAAACCAAGATGAGGAACACTTTTTGGTGAACCCCTGGGGCATGTTATACCATGAAATCACTGCCAGCAGTTTGGCCAAAGTTGACATGCAGGGCAATATTGTAGAAAAAGGAACGACCAACTATGGTGTCAACAGGGATAGCTTTCAGCTTCACTCTGCTATTCATGCTGCCCGTCCTGACATTAAATGTATCATTCACATTCACACAAATTCTGTTCTTGCTGTAAGTTGTGAATCTAGTATGGCATAGTCACTATTTCTGGCAAAGACATCAAAGGCAATCTGGGTTCAATTTTTCCGTGTCTTTTCAGGTGTCATCGCTCAAATGTGGCCTCATTCCCCTTTGCCAAGAATCCTGTGTGATAGGTGAAGTGAGTTCACACCAATATCAAGGAGGTCTGTTTGAACCAGAAGAGCGGGATAAGATCTCACGAAATCTTGGTCCCAATAACAAGGTACCTTTATGTTCTGAAATAGGATGGCTATGATTATCTCGATTTCACTCACTAGGCCTTAACAGAAATTTTGTACTGATTCTAGGTAATGTTCCTGACAAATCATGGTGCTATGTGCTGTGGAGAAACAGTTGAGGAGGCGTTCTTCAATGTCTACAATACTGTCCAAGCTTGCGAATCACAGGTTGGTTCACTTGCGTTGTTTCTTTCTCTTGACCTGCTGTGTGAATTGCCACTAATGGAAGCGTCCGATTTGCAGATCAAGCTAATGCCAATGGGCATTGATAACTTGGTCCTCCTGACTGATGAGACGAGAAAACGTGTCTATGACGCTGCACGACGCCCTCCTGAAGGCTTTGCACTCGACAAAGCTGACAAGGAAAAAGACAAGGAGGTCACATCTCCTACCATTGCTGTCAAAGGCAAGCGATGGGGTGTTGGATGCACGGAGTTTGAAGCTCTTATGCGCATGCTTGACAACGCTGTAAGTGTAACTCTTTAGTTTATTAGATTGCATTACTACTGAAGGCATTTCAATTAATTTTTTATTTTCTGCCCCAGGGTTTCCGAACAGGGTACATCTACAGGCATCCTCTTGTCAAGGGAGATCCACCAAGGCCACGAAATGATGTAGAAGTTCCCCCGGCTGTCTCTTCTCTGGGTTATCTCCTTGAGGAGGAGGAAATGTACCGACAAGGGTATGTTGCTGTAAAATTACCTTAATCATGTTTTTAAAAATTATGATTATTATTTTTAAACTCTGGTTTGTTTTTTTCCTCATAGTGGATGGAAGAAGTGGATGGAGGGCCGCAAAACGCACGACCGCACCCGATGGCTCAACTCTCCAAATGTTTACCAGAAAGTGGAAATTCTTGAAACTGGCACACCTGATCCCAAGAAAATTACTAAGGTAGAGGTCATTAAGATTGAAAATAGGGGAAGTGACTAAGCAGTTTGCTGCTGCACCCATTATGATCTTTATTCATTCCTAAGCTTTGTGCACATTGATTAACTCTCTTGAGGTACAATTTGTCCTTGTTTTCAAGTGACATGCAGCCATGTTAAATCTTTCCCTAATTTGATTTTTATTTCTGCTTTTATTCCAATGGCTTTTGTTGTGTGCTTATCGTGTAGCCTTGTCAGGTAATCCAAGCATGTTAGGCACAAAACTTTATTGTTAGGTTAAATGTCAGCAGGTGTAAAAAAGTAATGAAGGTGAATAAGTCTTATCATTGGTTAAAAAAGATTTTGTTTTTAAAATCTGACTAATTTTGATGGAGTATATTACTCTTTTCCAAGTTATGAACTACTGCCATTGTTTTAACCTCAATGAAATCCATTCCCAAGTACCAGCCAATTAACCTTCTGTGATTTCTTCATGGAGTGTTCACCTATTGTGTGGTCATTATGAGTAGTTTAATTTAGAATGTGTAGATGCGGTTGGAGGAGAATAACACTCCACTCCATACTAATCTTGACTGATGATGGAAGAAATACTCACTCTAGTCATAAGTGTTGCTCTCAAGGGAAAGTGTTCGAACAATGCTTCAATTGTTTCAAAAAATTGTCATTTGTTTTTGTTTTGCATCAATGTTTCCTTATATATCTTTATTACTTTACATATTTTATTTGAAAATACTTCCAGCTAATTTTTATATTTATTACTTATCTTATGAGTGCTATTTCTTCTAAGGGTGGAAAAAAAGATTTCGAAGATATTAGGTGGTGTGAGTTGTGGGTACTGATGTTGTGTCTCCCTATTGATGGAAGATTTTTGATGGGCAGCTTGCGTAGATTAACTTGATTGCATGATTTTAGTCTTCATATAATACTGGGTGCCCTTTTGGGTCTCAAATTTTGTTACCATTTACACTTTGAACCCATTTATATGGAATGCCATTCCTTTTTTTAAGTCTTAATATCAGCTTGAGCTACAAACATGTAACCCTCTTCGTTATGAAAGTATCTTACTTGAATGGTTGATACTCAAAATATGCTGGGCAGTCATTGGTTATGTTGAATCCTTACTTTTTAAGGATGGTAGTTACCCATCATTTGGGCCATTCCATTGTTTAGTGGAGTCTTTTTCTAGACTGTGTTATACTGTAACTCTAAAGCTTTCCGCAACATTGGAGGCATTTTGTGAAGGAATTCACTGTAATCTGTTCATTCCTTCTTTGTACAATCATTATTAAATCAGAGTATGAACTTTTGTCTATTAGTGTAAGTTTCCTTAACCAACCATACAATTGGTCTGATTAGTGCAACATCATAGTTTCTTTTATATTCAACATTCTTTTTAATTTGAACCTGCTGCCAACACCTGTTTTATTTAAGAGGTGTTTTCTTCCCTTTCAAACAGATTACGATGAGGGTTACTAGGAAACCTCCAAAGAAACTTTTTCTAAATTATGCTTTTGAGTCAACTGCTGCTTTCAGTGGATGAATTTATTTGATGCACTAATCCGATCAAAGCACACACTGCTCTTGACACTGCTCTCAATGACACTAACATAATTCTCAGCAGGGCAGACATATCTTAGGAATGGTGGTAAAGCACATGGATTATCCCTCCAATATGGTGTCCCTGTGATACGGGCATACACATATTTGTGATGCTCTCATTGGCACAGTGATTTGTCTGTAATGTGTGTTGTTAAGTGTGTGTTGAGATTCTAATTTGGTTGTTTGGTTTAGCTCCATAATTTTCTTTAAATATTTGTTTTCTCTCATATTTTTGCCACTTGTTGTTTGTTGGTTTGTTGTATTTTAATTTGTTTGTATTAACCCTATTTTTTATTTTTGTTTGTTTTCATTTTATGTTGATTATCTTCACGTAGTGGGTGGACGCAAATGCCGATGAGGTAATTTCTCCCTGCCTATTGGTATACTCATACTATTCATTTGGTTCTGGGCTTCATTTAATTATGGTTAAGTTAAGATATATTTGCTATCTTAGGTTTGCATCAATAAACACTTCATGGGAGATTGAACTTCTATGCAGTGTTCTTTCAATGTTTAATGGCACAGTGTCCATTTTTATGACTTGATCGTTTTCATTTCTCTTTCATTTTTTGACTGTGTAGTTCACCTTATTTGCATGCTATTTTAGAAAGAATGCACAGATTGTTTTTGGATATTTTTCCTCAAGTCCATGGTACCTTTTTAGTTTTAAACCAGACCATTACAGATAAATCGTGTGCCTGTTTGTTGGACTCTCCTCACAAAAACGACATGAACATTTCACCATTTTTGTATTTCCTTTTTTTTTAATTTTTTTTTTTTTTGCTAACTGAATACTTGGGCAAGTTCTGAGCTTTGCCATATCAGAGCAAAACCAGTACATAACGGACCCACAAAATTTTGCTCTCTTGTTCTGACTTTTTTTTCTGATAAATTGATAAAGTTTGAAAAATCACTGATCAAATGCAGATGTGAGCCTTGCTTTCTCTGCTCTGAAAATTAGTTAATTGAAATGTTTGGCTGAGTCGAGTCTAAATACAACAGGCACACAGAAACTGAACGTGGCCTTGTGAATGGGTCCTTATGTGCTGGTTTTCTGTGCCACAGTGGGTCGCGGATGGATCGCCTACACATAGCAGTACGCCTGTCAAGATCGACACACTGCAGTTTGTTCCCAAAAATACCAATCCTAAGGAATTTAAACGACTTCAACAGCAGGTGAGTTGTCTCTTTTCTTACTGATTTAAAACATTTTTCTGAACTAATTTCACATTGGCAGAGCCTATCTTTGTTAGCAAAGTCATAATTGAATCTTTTATGTAGATCAAGGAAAATCGACGGGCAGATAAAATCACATCTGGTCCTCAGTCTCACATACTTGAAGGAGTTTCATGGGAAGAAGCCAAGAAATTGCAGGTAACTTCAAATAGTGCATCATAATTTTTTGAATGTGATTCATGTGTTGCATCCTGTGTTCTTTCCTCTGAGCTTGATATATTTTTTCTCGTTTGTAGGATGCCAATATTTCTCAGACTGGTGATCAAGTAATATTGGTTGGAGCAGCGTCCAAGGGTATAATTCAGCGAGGCTTCCAACACAATGCAATGGTCTACAAGGCACCATATGCTAAGAATCCGTTCGACACAGTTACCGATGATGAGCTGGAGGAGTACAAAAAAACAGTTACAAGGAAAGTCAGAGGAGATGGATGTAAGTGAACTGTACTGTTGTTAACTCCTCTGAAGTTATCTGTTAATTAAAAAATATAAATGTAGTGCTTTTATTTGCCAAGCTAAATAATTTTTTTATTGACTTTGACAGATGATGAGGATCAATCAGAGTCTGAGGCTCTATCCTCGTCAGCGGCAGGCCGCCCTCCCACTGGTAAATCCCCAATTAGTGATGACGAAAGCAGAGACGGTAAGTTATCTCAATTATCTTGTTTTTGACATTTTGGTGTGGGTCAAATCTTCTCATTTTAATTTGGGGGGACAGCTCTCATGAACCACTTTGGGTGATTAAGTCTTGTGTGGAACATGGAATTCCTGATATCCTTATTTTGGAATGTTCCCTCCCTCAGACAAACTGCACAGCTATGAATTATACTGGTTTAATTGCACAGTCATCTTTCTTGCAAGTTGACGTTGCATGGGGCAAAGGACTTTGAGTGAGACCAATGTGGGTGGGAGAGGGAAGGAATGTGTTGGGTTGTGGCACAAAGCATGGTGGAAGGGGCCACATCATTTAAACAGAAATTTCATTGCCTCTGGGACCAAACAATGTCATCGAGCATGAGTTTTGATCGTCCCTATCGAGGCAGAATTCGTTTGGGTGATACTTGTCTCACGCCTAATAAGAAGTCTGTTCAGCAATTTTGCCTTCACACTTTAGTTTTCCTTGTTGTCAAGAGTGGTGGATTATTACTAACCCTTGTCCTGTATCTCTATGGTTGGGCAGAATGTCGCGTGTTACGGATAGAATCTAAACAAGCACCACGTCCAATCCATGCAGAAGTTGTCCTCAGTGATGGTTAGTATTTTATTTTGGACTGTCTTTTTTTAAACAAACAAACAAAAAATAACAAAGAAACAAAAACAGAAACAAACCTTTAAAGGTATTTTGATCAAGAAATTAGCTTTTCTTTATTTGGTCTGAAAAACGTAGTATTGTAAGGTAGCTCACCCAGTTTTTCAGTTCTGTCTTGCTTTAAGATTCTTTGAACTTTCATTTCTTTCTTGGTAGTTAGTTTTCTTCTTGGTTGCTCTTTATTTAATGACCTCAAATCTTCACTAACCGTAATTGAATTTCTGTAATAGGTAAGTCATTGCATGTCTCATTACATGGCAGCACTTGCATGGTCTGTACTTAAGTAATTCTCAGAGAGCAGTGCACCAGTTGCATGTTGTTTTGCTGCATGAGGATTGCTTCAATCAAATCTATGAGTTAAATTATGTTGCTTCACATGAAAGCAGACTCTTATCCCTATATGCTAAAGAACGCCGTATTATTATCATTATTGAGTTTTGCATGTTTGATTTGTTTGAAGACTCTGATTACCCGGATGCTCATGTGGAACGATCCAAATCAGCACGCTTCCCACTGAAAGGTAAATTGTACTGAGGATGAAATATTCTTTAGCCACTTGGTTATTGGTGGTGGGTGATTTTATACTCCCTGATGCGTAGTTTCTGGGCTAAGATGCCAAAGAGTGACTCTGCATCAAATTGTGTCATGTATTAGATTAGTAATGCTTTCAGTCAACAGGGAGGAAAATGTCAATTTTTAATTATGTCAAAGTGAATGTTTGTGCCGTTAGATATTCCATCCTACACTTGCATGTATGGGCATTTTATTGTTTTCTGTGCTGTTTGCATTTTGTCAACTGCTTGCTTTGCTATTCAGCGACTCCGGACCTTGTAGTTGCACCTGGAGGCTTTGGCCGCTCCTGGTCTCTTGGACGAAATAAACGACAGAGCAAAGGTGAGTGAACAAGTGTTGGAAGCAAGTATTGGGTCAATCATTGGGGTCCGTATGTCTATACCCTTCTTCTGCACTTTTCATGGTTCATGTGCACTCCTATATTTAGTAACAACTTATTGCATGTAGTATCCCTTTCTTTTCCCATGTCTCTAATATTGGTAAGTAAGTTGCATTGTCTTGTGTCTTGGAAGCAAGTTTCTTTGACCTCTGTTTATGTTTTTGTTTTGTTATTTTTTTAAAAGCTGTATATTATGCTTGTTTGCTATCACTCAGCATCAGTGTATCGTGTGTTCTCCAATTAAGAATTTGACTCTTACTCTCAATATACTTAAATAACAGCTGGGTGCCAGCATCTTCCTTTTGTCTATTTTATTTTTTCCTGTTTTGCTTTGCTTGCTCTGTGCTGCTTTTTGTTAACACGTCTTTTGGCATGGATTTCAGATTGTAGCAGTAAGAGAGAGATGAGTAGTGCCCTCCAGAAAACCCCTGCTGCACTTCCCCGCCCTCCTCACTTTCACCATGCAGTCTATGCATCTCTCCCTTGTCATCAGTCGCCCCCAAAGACTGTGTCATGCTCAATCACTCGGTTCAGCAAGGTCAATGCACAAGTTTGCCGAAAAGAGGAGGTGACAGATACTGTACTTTTAATTAATTACCCCAAGTCCCAAGTTCTTCACCAAGATATCTTAACTGAAAATGTCAATGGAGAAGAAGATGGAGATAGTCTGGCTGATGTGATATCCTTACCTTCATCAGATTTTGGATACTTAGATGAGAACCACAATGAAACAATTGACCACTCTGATGTTGAAGTGATCAAAGTGCAATTAAAGAGTCTTGGAGAAGTTCAAAACTCTACAATTATGTCGATCAATGACAACAATATGTTGACATCTGATCAAGTTTGGAGCTTAAGTGACAAATGTGCATCTGACGCAATGTCTCTCAATACAGATCAAGAATGTTCTTTTCTGTCAGAAAATGGTGATAATACAGTAATCTGCACTCGAATTGGCAAAGATAGTCAGGATGTAGACTCTAAAATTAAATTGGCTGATGGTTTGATTGCTAAGCGGGATGATGCTGACTCAGACTGTCAGGGTCAAAGTTTGAACTACAGATTTAGTGCTGCCCAAGCCGGTTCTCTGTTGGCACCTGAGGAGCAATTCCATTCAGAAGAACCCTATTCAGAAGTTGAAGAAAGTCCAAGTATAGAAGATAACATGCCTTTGGACCCTCCCATGGCTTGTTTGGTAGAGGATGAGGACATGCTGAGCGTTAATATTCATGAACCTTATAGAGACATTAAAAAGGCTTCTGACTCAAAGAGTGAAGAAATTCTTGCAATGACAGAGAGACAAGAAAATACCATTGATATTTCTTGTTCCATGTTTTCAATCCCAGATGCTAGAGACAATTTCGTTGGCCAAGATGAGGTTGATACAAATAACACCCTGACCCATGATCAACTTTTTGCAAGTGTGATTGAGGAAGTTGGACTTGATCAGAGTTCAAAACAGATTACTGAAAGTGATTCAAGTTTCAATTTGTGTCACTCTACTGAGGGTGATTCTAACTCAATTGCAATGATACCTTGTTCGTCAGAACCCAGTAAACCATATTCTCCTTCTTCTTTTGTTCAGAAAGTGGAAATTGAGGAAACAAATGATGTATCTGAAAGTCTTGAGCCCCATCTTACAAGTCTTGCAGGTCCCTACGCAGTGCTCCAAATTGGACACAATGAGAAAGTGGATATGTTTTCAATATTATCTGTGAATCCCGTGGAAAGCTCTTCCATGGATTCTATACTTGTAGAAGACCTCATAGCAGCAAAAAGAGACAATTCTCCAACCTTAGAGTCTACAGATGAGCAAGATTCAAATGAAAATCACCTTGAAAAGTCCTGGATTCCTGTTGCCTCAGACTTGCAGTATGGTCAAAAGACCAGTGAATTCAATAGTGATTTCCTGATTCATGAAGACATTCAAGACTTCCATGATGTTAGTCGTTCTAATCTTGAATTGCTAGATGCCTCCTGTTCTATTAATTCACCGAGGCCTTCACATTTAAACTTGACCTCCATGGCTAGAAGTGATATCAGTCTGGAATCGAGAGCCAGTGATGAAGGTGAACAGTCCATTCCAAATGGGGCTGGTGAAACCTTATATGACCCTTCTGAAACGTGTTCAGATGAATTTTACTCTCCGCTCTCAACATTTTGTAGCCCTGCCTTTGCTACTGATTCTGGCGAAGATTTCTACTCCCCCTATCCTGATGCTCAATTGAATGAGTCAGAACCAGAAGATGATGATGGAATGTGTTCAACACTTGAGGAAAGTGACATTGAAATTGATTGTAACCCTTTCTCTCGAAGTGCATCCATGCCCAGTAGTCCGTTGACTAATAATAATTTGGATCTTGAAAGAGGAGAGTCTGATAATGAAGTCAGCAGCTTAGATAGTACTGGTGTGTACAATGAAGATCGTTGGCCAACATTCATTGCATACCCTCATCCAATTGAAGAGGGAATGGGTGCCTTTTCCTCTGAGAACAAAGTCAAAGAAAGTGATTTGTCCAGAGATTTAGATTCTCAAGATGACTTGAGCACTTTATATGCAGAAGATTCTAGCCATGAGCAGTCACTTGAGAGTGAAATGAATGGTCGATGCGCTTTAAGCAGGTTATCATACTCTACACCAAATATGAACTCAGTTGGCACATATCAATCTTCTCCTCTGGAACTTGGAAGACTTTTCACTTTGAAAAACATCAGAAGTGTTTCTGAGACTGGACTGAATAATTTCTTTTGAAAAGTGACTTGCTCTCTACCTGGTTTTTGTTGTTGATTTCTTTTACTAGTCTACATGTTAACAGCCTCTGTCTATTTTTGAGAGGTGGGGGAGTGGTTGATTTTTACCTTCCTTTTGAAAGTATGAGTGTTTTAATGTCAGTGTTAATTTAATGGTTTTAAGATCTTCATAGCTATCTGTTCCAACATATTGCATGTGTTATGTGCTTTGACTGCATTCTTCTATGACATGTTAGTTCTGATGTTTGATGACTACGTAGTTTTTATGAAGTACTGTTTAATACAAATATTTAAAATGCCCCCTTCCAAGTGGTAGTTTAACTTGAGCTCTCTTTTTTTTTCTTTTTGCGTACTCTGGTATGAAGGAGAAAGTTTCTTGTTTTAACCATAGATTAATTATTAGTTCCATGTAAGTGTCGTCTTATTCTTCTTATTTATTTTTTATTTGTTATAGAAATTTAAAAAATCAGCACCCCTGTATTATTAACCCTGTTATTTTTCAAAATTTTTCATGTTTGTCATTCATTGGCTTTTAATGGTCCCTGAGCCTTTTAATTTTCTTCAAAAGCCATTGCCTAACTTATCAATGTTCTGTGACAAACTGATCTAATAAAATCTGGTAATATAATGTTTCCTATCTTAAACGTTATGAATATGTTCCTTTACATTTTCGAGTTTCATGTTTTCATGTTTGCTTCACTCTCTCCTCTCTTTCTCTCTCTCTCTATGTTTTTTCTTATATTCATATAAAAAAGAACCAACAAACTGATTGAACTTGAAAGAAAGAAACTTTTAATCGTTATTTCAGTCTTGGGTCATCAGATCCTGTCATGTACAGCACGTATAATAAACTGCATGTTTTGTGCTATAACATTCATAGTGGGTCATTGTGGCTCACTGGCCTTTTTGGTTTGGTAAATCCATACCAATGCTATTCTTTTAAACCCTGTCCGGTCAAGGTGAGGTAAGGTGATGCATGCATGCCTTTATACATTCCGCAACCTCAGCTTCATTAATTATAATTTTTTATTCTTTCAACGTATCTTTTTCTTAAGAGACAGCTGTCTCAGTCTCTTTACACACTGTTCGCTCAAGTCCATGACCTTTTTCTTTCTGTACTAACTTATTAACTCTTCTTTCTTCAAGCCCCCTCAATCATGCTGTTTTTAATGGCAAAGATTCTAACTGTTGTTTTTCTTCATTTTTCATTGTAGGAGAGAATGTTAATGGTGATCACTCTGAGGCCCATCAAAGTACAATTTCACAGAGCAGCAAAGAAGTGAGCCATGTGAGTAGTTAAAGTAAAAACTGTTAAGTGATTTAGCTTCTGGATATTTCTGTAATTTTTATTTCTACTTTTTCAGGGCTCTACATCAAAGGATATGTCAGAAGACTCACCTAAGAAGGACAAGAAAAAGAAGAAGGGTCTACGCACACCATCTTTCCTCAAGAAGAAGAAGGAAAAGAACAAAAAACTAGCTGAAGCTTAGATAGTGATATTATGAAGGTGAGTCTTAATTTTAAACCTATTTTGATTTGCGTAAAGGCACTGGGAAGGAGTGTTAAAATCTTTTGTTTTGTTTTGACTAGACACTGCCGATTTTAAGGAAGAAGAAAACCAAGTCTTTTACGTCTTTTTCCAAACTTAAGACTGCCTTAGCTGGAAAATCATTTGAAAGGATTTAAGGCTGGGCTATTGAAGTACATCACAGCACGTATTTTGTGGATCATGAACATATGTGTGAGGCAAATTTGTGGCTACCAAAACTAAGGTGGAACCTACGACAAAATGCTTCAAGGAAGTTTAATGGACATGCCTGTTTTGTCTCCTGTGCTTTTACTCGCTCGTCGATGGATGATTTTTTTTTCCCAATGTGTTCCTCAAAGATTATGAACTTCTTTTTTTAATATATGTGTATGGAAAACGTTTTTATCTTCCTATGTGAATTTTAGAATTGGTATAAATAGCTGCTACTTACTTTGTTTTACATCTTCCAATTTGTAAGTCACAGGACATGCTTGAGCATTACTTCTGAAGTGTAGTAAGGAATACTCATCAGATTGTGTTAATGAATTCGTTGGTTGCTTGAGATATTTTGATTGTTTGATGTTTTTATTACTTTTACCAGGTGGTGCACAAGTCAGTTCTGAGCAATCGGCATTGAGTAACTTTTAGGGACTTTTTCTATTTTGTATCAAAATACTGGTAATTGTGTGGACTCCCTGCTTTTGCATTTCTGTTGGTTTGATCAGCTCACATTTTTTAAAGTGATTAAGACAAACCCTATTAGAGTTGCCATTGCTTAAATTCTGTAGAGAATCACGATATTTTTTGGTAAAATTTAAAACACACTTATGTCACTGCCTTAGCAGTTTGTCCTTCCAGTAAACCTTGCCACAGTTTTGCATCATCAAGTCTTATTTGACTTGACTCACTTTGTCATTAATACGTATGACATGACATAGTGGCTGAACAAAAGATACAATTTTTTACATCTGTTTTTACTGCTAGATTAATTATAGTTGCTTTATGTAGTTAAAATCATGTACATGGCCATGGAGAGGATCCCAATGATCACCATATTGTCATATTGTCATTCAACGTTAAAAAAAAAGTCCTAATTGTGGTTCTTCTAATCCCTGAATGTCTGTGAGAGTCCGCTTACATGTGTACAGATTGTGAATAATGTTTGTTGTAAGTGCACACATTGTGTACAGAAAGGGAAGTGATAAGTGATAAGTTGAGATGTATTTTATGGTCCTGTTTGAATCGCCTACATTACGTTTGATTGAAATTTGTCTTACAACTGCCTCTTCTGTAAGGAAAATTTTGAAGGTGCTGTTGGCTTATGTAAATATTACCTCTGCTTAAAGATGTGAAAAGTAGGAAAGATTTTTGTGTAAATCAGATTTAAATTCTGCCTTTGTTTTTATAATGTGCATTGTAAATGAGTAATCAGTGAGTTTCCTTTTTTGTTGTGTTAATTTTATTCTTTTTAAAATTGTAACGGAGAATTTTCAATGGTTTTTTATAGAACTAGCTTGTTGTTTAAAATTTGGGATCTTATGAAATATGCAAATGCTGCTTTTGCTTTTCAAATCATTGGAGCACTTGTATTGCTATTTTTATCTGCTAATGGCATCCTTGAAGTGTGATGGTGATTTCATCGCAACTTCCTTTGCGCATTGAGCTGTTATCTAAATTCTTTTCTCCATTTTGTATATGATTTTTTTTATTGGCTGTGGTGCTACACCATTGAGTTCAGTGACATGGAAATGATATATGCATGACAATGAATTATGAATTGACCCTTGATTACCAGTCTACAGAAAAGTTTTTAAGTGCATCATCTTACTATTTTGAAGAATGAAATATGTGTGACTCATTTGTTGTGATGATTGTATATGTCTATTGTTCCACAGTTTTCATTGTTTGAAAGCATTGTGGATGCCTTATATGCCATTTCCAGAGTAAAAATAAAATTTTGAAAGACTTTAAACCTATCCATCCTTGTTTGTAGTGGAGCTAACTTCAGTGGAAGGCACACACTGTTGAGTATTGCAGCAAAGACAAGTTTGAAATAGGGAGCATGAAAGATTTAACTGCCAAATTTATATGAGGAGGGTTGACATCCAGTAAGCAGGTCTTCTATGACCGGCCTCATTTACCAGTGCATCTTCAATGATGACAAAGTATATAGTGACGATATTTTTCAAATTCTGTTTATTGAACAGAGAAAATTGCTATTTATCTAGAAATGTAAGGAAATTGGCTGCTTAGACTGGATATTTGTTGTAAATGTATCATGTGCTGTAAAATTAGTACACTAAAATATTTATTTTTAATTTTTTATCACACATGCATTCTGCCTACTTGGGGCCACATCCTCGAATCTGCGGTGTTTCATATGACACATGTAATGGTGAATTTGTATGCTCAGTACAGGCATTAGGCCTAGCTTGAATGCTGTGCTCTTGTAGGCAAATGCATTGAAATTCACAAATCTGAATAAAAAGATAATTAAAAGAGTTTGATGTAGTTTGTCATCTTGCCAATCCTGATGCCCTCATGAGTTCTGCTGCTATCTGTGCTCAAAAGAAAATAATTTGAAATTGGATTTTTCTTTCCCATCAAAGCTATGTCTTGGTGGTTGAGAAAGAGCAGAATTGTTGCTCACTATGAGAAGGACCTCACACACGATGGCGGTCATTAAGTCACTTGCACAATATAAAACACATCTTTTTAGTCATTTTATTTGTGACAAAAAAAGTCTCATAAATAAAAGAGGGTATTTTGTTCACGCCAAACATGAGCAATCTCATTGTTTGGCGCACATTTAAAATCGTATACATTGCTCATTTTAAGTAGCACATGCTCCTTAGTCCTGTATTTCCGAGGAACAACTATAGAGAAAAAGTAAACTAGTATCTTTTTCTAACAAAACAACCAATTCTATCAATTCCTGAGAATGGCCTTCAATAGTTCAAACAATTTATTATTGAGGATTATATGACTGTTTTGACTCAAAATACAGTACATTGTTATTTTAGATCTAATTGTGGAAATGAATGAATTCTACAATCGAGTTTTGACTAACACAGTGGATCTTGCTTCTGTCAAACAAAGGGAGTAACAACATTGTACTATTATCAGTGAGAAGACTTTAGAACATAGTTCAAAAAATACTAGATTTTAAAAGGAAACAATGACATATTTTTAATGCACAGGTGCAACCTCTTCTTCGGTAAAATTGCCCAGATTAGGGTGGACACTAGATACGTTACACAAAGAATGGGTCTTAACATAAGTTGACTTTCACATCACATTCCAATCAGGAAGCTTGGTGCAGACCACCCCAATGGCTGGTCAAAGGTGGGTTCTGGCTTGCAGCCAAAATAATATTACAAAAATAGTTGCGTTTATATTGGGAGCTGGTAATAACATTGATGTGTCAAAATTTACGTATACAGGAGTTTATAGCAAACAGCAGCTGGTTGGAACAACAGGATGCACTTCTAAGTGCAAATGATGCCATGAAACAAGACAATAACAATCTAATTAGTTGCTTTTCGTAAGTAACATTTCCCAGTGACTTTGTTTCGTATACATGTGTATCATTTATTCAGTATGAAGCCTGCTAGTTTCCAAACAGGAACTCTACATGATCAAGAAATACATTTCAGGAAAAGCAAGGATGAAAATTATCCTGTTGTTCCAGTGGCTGACAATCAGTAAACAGGTTTCACATAAAACGTGATAGCTAATGTCATTTCAAATGTAAAACAATTTTATAGTAATCTGTAAAAAGTTGCGTATACTTTTGTTGTTTTGTGGAGAGCATGTTAGAGTTTAAATTTTTTTATGTAGCTCATAAAGGGAGCATCCTTGAAAAAAAAGGACATCATGGTGCTGTGCTAGACCTTGCTAGGCATCAGCTACGTATACCTTAGGCATATCCAAAGAATTGTTTCTGTTTTTGTTTTGTTTTTCAATCAACAAACAGTCTACTTTTAAAATAATCTCAAATTTCTGGTAACATAACAGCGCTTTTTCTTCTCCTTCCCTGCTTGCTATGCGATGCTAATTAACTACAGAGGGCAATGTCTGCATCAAGAAAGAACCAAATATGCTCATATTGAAGTCGGTAGGCACAACGCAAACCAAGGCAGGATGGAACCACAATTATTGGAGTAAAATGCAAAAAGGGACTTTTCTCCAGAACATGGTTTTATAAAATTGAGACCTGCAGTCTTCCAATCATATCCCTCTGGCCCTCTCCTCAGGACAAGGCGCACATTTCACCCACTCACTCAAACAGCCAGCAGGCCAGCATCACAATCAGTGCAAAAAATAGTCCGTTCCCAAGTCCGGCGTGGCTCTGCAGCAGTTCACTCGTTCCACTCGTCACACCAACACCTGGTCTCCCCGGCCCGCTCTACAGCTTCTGTCTCTTGAGGGACGTGGCCTGGTCGCACGAGTCCACCGAGTCGTCGTCGTCGTCGTGGTGCATGGGCTGCACCGGGGGGAAGTCGGGGATGTGCTCACGGAGGCCGCCAGGGTGGCCTGAGTGCGGGTGGGCGCCCCAGCCGCCCGGGCCCGGCGGCGGCGATCCGGACATCTTGGGCGTCACGTGCGCCGACACCTGCAGCACAGAGAAGGTTCGAGTCAGAAAGGGGAATGACAGGCACGGAGGTAGGCTTGGGGTAGCATGGGCACAGCACGGCCGCAGCGCGCCTGCGACAAGCAGGGTAGGCCAGCCGCACTGTAGACGTGCGAGCGCGGTGCCTACGCTGCAGGGGCCCTTTGCTGCCTGGGACTTCCACCACCACGCCCTTGACTTGACTTGACCTGAAAGGCTAGACCACAACTGATCCTGCCTCGCTACCAGTGCACCGCAGTGATTGGACGGGCGGTGCAAACTGACGTTCTGAAAAATGCAAGCTGTTTTCTAAATGGCACACAGCGTAAAAGAGGAAAATCCAAGAAGGAAATGTGCCGAAGCCCGCCCCGAACGTCAAACTCTCAACTTCCCTGCCACAGCGGCGAGGCGGCGAGGCGGCCTGGCCAAGTCTCGCCACTGTCGCAGATGTCTTCAATTATTGAACAAGGGTCGAGTCTTGGACCACGAGCCGCGCTGCCAGCGCTGCCCGGCGCCAGAATCGCGGCACGGCGCGGCGCGGCACGGCACGGCGGAGGTGTCGCCCAGAGGTCCGACTCGACTCTCGGCCCACGCCCATGAATCTTGCATGGCGAGTCCAGAACGAGGTGCAGGAGGATCTGGGCTCGGCTCGGAGGGCCGGAGGGCCGAGGGGGCGACAGCGCGCACTTCCCTCCAGCCACACCTTCCGGCTGCTAGAGTCTCGAGAGCCTCGGGAGCGTCGAGAGCGTCGAGAGAGAGCGACCGCCACGGACACGGAGACAGCTAGAGACACTGCACCACAGCCATATACGTCGCGCCCTCATTTTCTGTGGATCAGGCTGATTCTGAAGAGTCGCTCCGACTAGCTGTCTCTCTCGCACTCCAGGGGCGCGCCGTTGGGTTGCGAGAGAGGCAGAGCGACGGACCGGTCCTCCGGAATCTGGCGGCAGCTTGAAGCCCGACAGGACCGCAGCGTCCGGCTCGCCAAGCTCGGCGCGGCTCGGCGCCATTCCACGAAATAAGCACCCTGATCCCGCCAAGACCGGCGGGCGCCGCCAGGAGGGTCGTCCCGGCGCGTCGCGTCTCTGGGAGCGTCTCTGGAGCGTCCCGCCGGACGTGCACATTTTATGTGGCCACATATCAGTGGCGGCGTGTAAATATCCTCCAAAGGGCTGTAAACGGCCGGGCGGCCGGCGGCCCGGCGGACCTCCGGGCGCGACTTGGCCGCGAGGCGCGGATCAAATAGTAACACCCCAATAAACGCTTTTACGAGCCAAGCGGAGAGCGGAGCGAGGCGCGAAGCCTGTCCGGCGCCGCGGTCCGAGAGGCTTTCGGCCAGACGCCAAATTATTTTTTAAACGAGGGTGAGAGTCCCTTACGACTTGCAGAGGAATCTGGATCTGTTTCGGGCGGCAACGGGGGAGGCAGGGGGTACCGGGCAGTAGGCAGTACCGAGGGACAGCCGGCCGGCAGGAGTCGAGGCAGCACAGCCAGCCCGCCGCTGGAAGTGGGGAAGAAACTAAGCTGCTGTGTTAGAAGGGGGCTGTGGGAAACGGGAAACAAAACAATGAGCGGAGAGAAAGGAGGCGAACGAGAGAGACGGAGAGGGTGGGGAGAGGGTGGGGGTGCAGCGAACCGGGTGGAGTTGATGCGGGGGCGGGGATGGATTTGGGTTGCCCCCCGCCTCCCCGCCGCGCCCCACAAGGCCCCACAAGGCCCGGACAATGTGTGCAGCGAGGGTGGCCGACGGAGGGAGCCACGCCGCGCCGCACCGCGATGGAAGGGGTGGCGTGGCGTGGCGGAGCGGTGCCGCACCCCGTACAGTGCAAGAAACAACAACGACCAATTATTATTTCGCCACCATCTCTTTTTTTTTTGCGGTGAAAAACTGCCGAATTTTCGGGCGTAGTTTTTGGCCCCACCTGATGCGGGCCCAGCATGCCGGCCGGGGCGCCGCAATGAATGAGAAACCTTACCCTTCCGAGGCGCGGGGCGCGGCGCGCGGTGTCGCTTTGTCCGCGGGGGCAATTAAGCAGTGGAGCAGCGAAGCAGCGTGGACCGGGGATGACAACTTGGCAAACGGCAAGCGGGGCCGCAGAGAGGAGGAGAGAGAGAGAGGGAGAGGGGGGCATCTTGAATTACGTATAAGGCGGGGGAGGAAAGGAAGGATCGTCTGACTCGGTGATCAGGGACGGGAATAGAGGAGTATCTTCCCTCATCGCCGGCCAACTTTGTTACAAGGAGCGGGGCGCCGCCACGCCGCCCTCTGCCGGTGCCTCGGCGAACTGCACAAACAAGCGGCAGCAGTCCTCCACTCGAGTCGGCAGTCGGCGACAAGCGCATAACTACCTGCTGCTGCCTGTGCCGCCAAGTGCTGCATGCTGCACGCTGCTGAGGCGCTGCCCGGACAGCGGACCGCTTGCAGGGCCTTCGCGCTACCGCTGGGCTACGCTGGGCCGGCCGTGGCGCGAGTACCGAGCCAGCAACCCTTCAAGTGGAGCCCCCGGCCCCGCCGCCCCGCCGCCCACCCGGACGCCACCCGAAATAACGGGTTCGCCGTCACGGTCCCCACGCCGCCCTACAATGCCCGGCCGAACCCTCGCAGGCCGCGCAGGCCTCGCCGCGTCACGCTGACGGCTTTGGGACACAAAGAGGACATTGCGACACAAAAGGGGAAAAAGGAAAACAACACAAGGAAAAAACAAACATAGCGTATAAATAAAAAAATAAATGCGTTGATACACATATGGCACAGCCCTTTCGCGAAAGAAGTTAATATGCATATGTAAATCTGCTCGTCAGACAAAAAGAATGGTTCGCATAATGCCACCAGGTACACCGTCTTCCCGCAATTCACAATCGCCATAACTCACTGCCCCTCCCCTCTCCGCCAAGTGGGGGGACCGAGCGGCGTGTGTGCGAGTGAGGGAGAGAGAGAGAAAAAGTGCCGGCAGGGCTAGCAAGGGCTGGGATAGGGCGCTCAGAAAAAGCGGCAACAGTCTACATACACGGCCACGTACGCACGCGCTCTCTCACTCGCTCTCTCGCACCCCCTCCCCCACCCCGTTGCGACTTTCAGATATTGAGTATGCCCGTTATGAGAAAGCAAAGACAGCCGCCGCAGCGGTGCAGGCAGCCGCTCGGCCTGGTTGGCCTGGTTGGCCTGGCTGGCCTGGTGGGAGAACGACACGGAAATTCACTTCGCCGCTTCGCCATGGCTTCGCCTTCGCCCAGCAGCAGCGCCAACCACCACACTGGCAGCCCTGGCGGCACTGGTGGCACCGGCCCGGGACGCGTTGCCGCACCACGCCGCCACCGCACCAGAACCAGACCGGGCGAGACGTCCACTGTGGGTTCCGGGTCCGGGGGAGGGAGCGAGCGAGAGAGAGAAAGAGAGCGAAAGGGGAAGGGGGTGCCTAACTGGTGAGTGGGACTTTTGCTAGCGCGGCGCTCTGTACCGACACTCATACATACAGAATGAAGTGGAGAGGACCGCGACGACAGACAGACGGACGGACAGGCAGACAGACAGAGGGCGGACGGCAGAGGGGCGAGACCAGCTGTCCCAGGAGGTCTTGCCGGCGGAGCGGTCCGGGCCACTGGAAGTCCTGGAAGGAGCCCGCGCACGCACATTGCAGGGCCAAGTCAAGTTGCCTCCGCAAATGGTCGGGACCGCTCCGGACTCAAAACCGGTGCGCTGGGCGGGTACTCCGTCAGCGCCCCCTCTCTCCTTTTCTAATACACGCGCGCACACTCGCGCGAGGGGCGGGCGTGTGCGGAGAATTCCAAAAACGTCGCACGTCCCGGGTTCAAATGCCGCGAATCCCCGCGAGGGCCGCCTTTTGTTGAACGCGCCGCTGCCGCTGCTGGTGTGAGGGGAAGGCGTCGTGCTGGAAAGAGAGGGGAGGGGGCGGGGGCAGAGACGTCGCGGCGTGGCGCCGCGTGGCGTCGCATGCGACACTGCTGGAACGGTCGAGGCAGTGTTCCGACGCCAGACGAGGCGGGGCGGGGCGGGGCGGGGCGGGGCGCGGTGCTGCCGCCGCGTAAGCCCCTATTTCCATTGCTGAGCCCGCCGAGGAGCGACGCAGCGACGCGCCGCGGCAGTTCGGGAGGAGAAGGTGCTTTCGCTGCCGCCCGACTAACAACCAGCAAGCAGCCCGCATTCACCGCATTCGCCATTCCCACTCCTTTTCAATAGTAATTCTCGAGGAGCAACAAGAATCGGGCCGCAGCGCGCAGCCCGAGGTCGCCGGGCCCTGTCGCCCCGCCGCCCCTCGACGGGCACTGCACTGCTAGTGCAGTGGAGGAGATTTGGCGGCGCGGCGGACGGAGTCGTTGAGGCCGTCAGAGCCACCGACAGGCCGAGGCCGGACAGGGCTCCACGCAGCGCAGGGCAATCGGGTCCAAACTTGGACTGGCTTCCCTCGGCGCCCCGCCCCGCCCGGCCCCGCCTTGGTGTACACTGGAATGGACTGAGCTGGCCGCGCCGCCGCGCCGCCGCGCTGGGCTCTACCTAATCCCATCAGGCCAACTTTATACAACAGTTTATGCGGAGGCCGGCCAAGATAAGTCCACTTACCGTCTGACCGCCCCGCGCCGCGCCGCGCCACTCTCCACAACGTTGCAATGGTAAGCCAGTGCCTTCGGACTTCGGCCTTGCGCGGTCGGCCGGCTGGCCATCAGCTCGCGCCGTCCCGGCCGGTCGGGTCAGTTCGGCCGCGCCGTGGCAGCGCGGCAGCGCGGCCCGCGTCACGGCTCAGCTGTTGATTCGGCTCTGTCTAACGTGACATCATCCGGCGACGGCAAAGTAGCTGACAGGGCCGGCCGGCGCCCCGCCGACAGCGATCCGACAGAGCTGACACCGCTGTCGGCGCAAGCTGACAACACAGCAGTGTCCCGCGTCATCCCACCTGAAGCTCGGCGTTCCCTGTCGGACTCTCGGGGCGCTCGCCCTCAATGAGCGCCCTGCCTCTCTCGCACCTGTGCGGGGCGCCGCCGGAGTGCGAGAGAGGCAGGGACGACAGCAATCGGGGCGCAGTTTTGATGCGGAAGTCTGTGGGCGAGAGCGAGTGGTGCAGTGTAGCGGCTGGCCGTTGGCTGTCGGGCTGTTACCGGCGGGGCACGTACCGGCCGGGCCGCGTTATAAAGCTGTGATGTAAGTATAAAAGGGGAAAGGCAGTGCGTTATGAGGGCGTAAAACCAGTAAGACCGCGTCCGAGACGACCACGCGCTGGACGACGTCCACGACGTCCACGTCGCCGTGAGAGGCACGACGGCGACATTCAGCCGCCCGGGGAGGGGAGATAGAGAGAGAGGCAACGCGCTCTCAGGCCGCCCTCCACGGCCCGGCCGAACCACCGCCGCCAGGCCGTCAGGCCGTCCGCTACTCGCAAAATCGCTTTTCCGCTTGCATCGTGAAAATTTCAGTAGCGCGCCACGCCGGCCGTTCCGATGACGAATGCAGCTTGAGTTATACGGCCGATGGAGTGGCAGCGGCCGCCGCCCGCCCCGCCCCGCCCCGCCTCACCCCGCCCGCGACGCATAACGGCGATTAAATTGGCTCCTGGGAACACCTGCTCGGTATAAAAGGGGGCCCGGTCGGCGGGGTGCGGCCAGACCGCCCCAGCCAGCAGGCCTGGCCGGGCCTGGCCTCGCCGGGCAGGCGTATGGGTCGTAAGGAGTCGGCTCGCCTCTTGGACTCAGCGTCCGGCACTTTATCTTCTTGCCTCCCGCGGCCCGCGTCAGCCAGCAGGCGCTCATTCCAACACGGCGCGCCTCGTCGCTCTGTCTCTCTCGCACCCCCACGCGACGCCCCACGCGTCCGAGAGAGACACCGCGACGAAGCCCCGTTTCGGACTCTGCCGGCAGCGTCAAGCGCCAGCCTGTCGGCTTCTAGCTCGGCCAAGCGCCGTGCTGCGCGGGCCGGCCCGGCGCACACGCCGGCGCGGCGGGACTGCCCGCCACCCGGGGGCCTCCGACCTCGCCGTCGACGGCCACGACGCGCGCGGTGCTGTGCAAAGCTTGCGCTGTTTCCTACCCAAGTCGCTGCTTTTCACAGTGCACCTCCCTCCACCTCCTCGATGTAGAGTTGCCGCCCGTCCCGAGAGCTCCCTCCAGATGATTACCGCCCGCGGCGACACTGCGCCACCATCCGCAGCTCCGCAGCGGCGACCAACTTTTCAAGAAAGACGCGCGCGACGCTAAACTGATTGGTTATAAATTTCCCCCTCCGCCGCTGCGCCGCACCGGTGCGACTCGCGGCATGGCCGCAGGAAAGAGAGAGGCGGAGGGAAGGGGGTCGGCGCACCTTTCAATAGACGTCTCGACGCAATGAAAAGACGAGGGTCAGGGGAGTGATTCGGTCCCCAGAGCGCCATCCGTGCGGCGGGGCGGGGCGGGGCGCGGCGGTCCGAGCCAAAGGCAGCCAAAGGCCAGCCGGCCAGTCCTTAAAAGTCCCGCAGTAAAAGGACCGAAGGACCGCAGGCGACGAGCAGTAAGGACTAAGGGCGCCGAGGAATCCGCGACGCAACGCCCGAGGAGCCGATAGGGGGAAAAGGGGGGGGGGGCTTCGGCTGAGAATTATTTATTTTAACTCGTAACTTTGGTGGAAAAGGACCCGGGCCTCCGCTCGGCTCCGCTCGGCTCCACAGCGCGGCCCCGCCGGCGGCAAGGGGCCCGCAGGGGGCGGGGCCGGAGGGGGCGAGTGATATCTGTTGGGAAAACAGGGTGGCAAATCATAGCACGGGGTTGGAGCCCTTTTTCCGTCTCTCTCTGTCTCCGTTTCGGTCGCTCCTTGTTCCCACGCTGCCGCCGCGCCACGCCGCGCCACGCCACGCCGCGCCTGACGCAAAGTAGACTTGTGCGAACAAGGAGAAAGGCAGCGAAACAGAATCTTGCTCCTTTGTTCGACGCGACTCGTGTGGCTGGCGGTTACACCGCAGAGGAAGCTTTTCCTCTTCTTCACGGAGAGGGAGGGGTGGAGGGGGTCGGACGCGCAGAAAGAGAGAAAGCAAAGATCGGATGGAGCCCTCCTGCGCGGGGCTGCGCCGCCCTGGGCTGGGGCCCTCCGTGAGATAGCTCAGAGCGCGCGGCGCCACGCCCGCCGACCCCTAGCCTTACCAATAAATTGTTCCCTGCTCGGTCTGTTGTCGCACACATATAAGGGATTACAAGATGAAGACCTCTCTCCATCCTTCTCTCCCGGCTCCACCTCTCCCTCCTTCCCTCCCTCCGCTCGCGAGCAGCCAAAACCGCAAAAATGTTGCCCGTCTTTCCCCTCCTCGTACGGCCGGACAAATTCAGCAGGCCGATGCACCACAGTGCCCCTGGCGTGCGGTGGCATGCGACAGTGCTCCGGCGGGACTGCGCCAGCTCGTCCTGGAGTGCACCGGTAGCAGCGCAGCTGCGGCGAGGCTAACTTTTCGGAGACAATGGGCACAATGCGAGCTCGCCCGCGCCCCACCGCCGCACTCAAGTCACTCCGGCCGGCCCGCCGGGCCCGCCCCTTGAGCGCCATTTTTACGCTGACAAGAATTAGGCATCATCAGCCGCGACGGCCGCTTCCAGTGCGCCTCCCCGCGGCTCCGCGGCCCGCAGCAAGTGGCCGATCATGTGTTGCTGGCCGTGGCCCCCGGCACGGCACGGCAGCCCTCATGGCCGCCGTCATGGCCGCCGATAGAGAGCAGGGCGCGTCGCCCAGCGATAAACTGCAAGACTTTACGCCGCCGGGGGTGGCTGCCTGGCTGCCTGCCTGCCTTCCGGGCTGCCAGCATGGCCTGGCCGCTCTGAGTTTAATTCCTCGTTACCGATTCCCTCCGTCACGGCCCGCACGTCGCCGCAGCGTTGCGTTGCGGGCAGTCGTGGAAACGCGGGGGTGGCTTCGAGAGGGGACGTCTACGACGCCCAGGAAAACCCTTTTACCAAACAGTCCGCAAGACCAAGACTGCCGAGAAAACCTTGGCAGAACCGTGGCGGTCTCCTCCGGTGGGAAGGGCCGGCTGGCGCGGGCTGGCGAGGCTTTGTGTGCGCGCGCACGCGTGCGTGAGACTGTGTGTGTGGCTTTCGTAGGGCTGGATAACAACGCACTGGTTGTACGTCCTCCCACACAATACTCCTCCTCCGTCCCTCCCCGGGCCCCCGCCGCCCCCGCAACCCCGCTCGCCGGGGGGCGACACACACTCACATATGCGAACACTGTGCATGCTCTATGCCCGCACACGCACGCACTCTCACACACACACACACACGCGCGCGCGCGCAGACACACAGTGTTCGTGCGCGTGCACATTAGATGTACACGTGTGGGCATGTACTGCCTCGCGTGTCTGGGCTCCGTAAGTCAGGGCAGTATTCCGCGCGTTTTCGCGACGTGCCGCCACCGTGCCGCCACGGACGGCGTCGGTGCGGTGTACCCGCCGCCACCCCGCGGACACCTCGAGCAGAGCCGGGCATTCAGCCTGCAGCGTGGGCCGGCCCGCCGAGCTCGCCAGTGTGGCGGGCCTGCCTACCCGCCGGTCGTCAGGCGCCAAGGCACGCCGAGCCGGGCGCCTTCACTTCGAGCACCCCACACCGCCGTGCCATGGCCATCGTGCGGCCGGCGGCGTCGCTACCCCCTGCTGCGAAGGGCACGGGCAATACCCCCGTCCTGCACCGCATGTGTTCCTTTTCCCACTTCTATCCCTCCTCTCTCTCTCTCTCTCTCGCTACCTCGCCAGCTTCTCGTGACTTGTAAGTCATCAGCCCCCTTGCGACGCGGCCCCGAGCTTTCATTTCTGACCGCGTAATTTCTCATAGCAGCGACACTGTAGCGTTGGCATAATGTAGTGTATAGTGCAGCCAATGGAAGCTTCCCCGCGTATCACGGCGCCACGCCATTGTTCGCGCGGGCACTCAGTGGAAGGGACGCCTCGCCCCGCCCCGCCCCGCCCCGCCCCCTGTCCGACCGGGGTGTGGCGTCTCGAGGGCGGGGCGGCCAGCCCAGTGTGTCACTAACGATCCTTTTTCTACAGTGTGTGTGTCTGCTGGAGATGCTCACCTGGTGCATTGGGTCGTAGCCCATGCCGGCCTCAGCGTACGGCTGCAACACAACCACCCGACACAGCATTAGACTCAAACCACCACAGTTCCCAGTTCCAGTTTCAAGTTCCAAGATTTCGACTCGACGCTCGCGCTAGGCTCCCCGTCGTCCGCGCGGGCCGACGGGGAGCCGAGGGCGGCGCTCCGCAGAATTTGGCCGAAAAGGAAAGGACCGGGGTGGAGGACTCGAGGACCGCGTCGAGGACTCGGCCCCAAGTCAGCGCGCCGTTTTAGGAGACAAGTTTAGAGAAGCATGCTGTTACCGTGCGCGGCAGCGCGGCACGGAGGTGAGTGAGACAAAGACAAAGCGCACACGAGCCCCTAGTGTCCTAGTGTTATTCAGTCTGCCCATCCACTCCACGCTAGTTTCGGTCGTGTTCTCTGTGCCAACAAGACTAGACAGCTAGCAAACGATCAACATCACAGTAAGTGACTTCACCAAAGAAATATGTAGCGCAGTCCAGAAGCTGACCGACAAATGAAAAAGTCCTATCGGTATTTGTAATTAAAGTATTTGATTTACTTTGCTCCGTTACTTTCGTCACTTAATGTAATGTTATTTTGTGCAGTTAGTGTGGTTGCCATGCGGGAAAAGAGCCTAGGGCTCAGCTAATGCTACAAATTCCGCCAAATGTCAAACAACTTTATTTTTGTTTCTCACAGAAATACAAAAAAAGGCGTACATTGCCACACAGAGGGAACCCTGAGTCAGTACAGGGCCACCACAACAATCATACAAATCCTAAGCTTACAGATTCATAACAATTCTTGTAGTCATTTATTTATAATTATCCGTATACTTGGTCTAATCCTAGACTTATCACTAAATTGTATAATTTTACAATACTCAAGATTTTTATCTCTTATATTTAAAGTAAGCGTTAACCTATTAAAAATTATTATACCTAAAACCAAGATACACAAAAAAAATGGGAAAATTAAAAGTTAGCCTACAGAAAACAACATAAAATGTGATGCTTAAAACAAAAAACAAAACAAGGATGATATGAGGTGGTCCGAGCTCCCCCTGCAGTATCCAATCAAAGCTTTAAGGGACATTTAAGGGCAGAGGGCGGCCCTGCCCGGCACGGCCACCGCGGCCACCACGGGCGCTACCTGCCGGCCGCGCGCCGCCAGAGACGCGCCACGCCGCCAGCGAGGGGCGTGGTGCGCCGTCGACGCGGCGCCGCGGACGCGGATAGCGGCCGCCACCTGGCCGGAGTGGCCTCCCCGCGAGGCGCGCACGCCGAGCCGGACCCGGGCGAGGCTAGGCGAGGCTAGGCCAGGCCAGGCCACGCGGACGACACGTTCGGCGCGAAGCACGCCACGCGCAAGCACGGGGTTCAGCTCGCGCCGAACGTGTTTTCGTCGTCAGCTCAAAGAGGTGGTCGCTTTGCAGCGGACTCGGGCGTGCGCGACGCGGGCCACCATGCCGGGGAGGCGCGTCGCCCGCTGCTTACGTACTTAAGGACAATTTCATTATCTTACGCATACTTTCATGTTTCCGTTTCTAATAAAAATAAAGTTAAATAGATCAAATATTTGTACTTTACATGATAGTGTGCTACCGCAAAGCGTTTTGTTCAGAGATGCCAACCACTACACACTTTAACCCATTCATGCCCACTGTGAGTTCGGGTCGGGGCGTGCAACGTCCCTATCGCCAAACGGCCAAATAAATTTACACTCTCTTTCCCTTTGAGGCAAAGTAAAGACAGAAATTGGTATACTCATATTACCCTTATGCGTTAATACAATCAAGTTTTCGTACAAGTAAAATTCATAAAAAAACAATCATTAAATTAGGATGTGCAACATCCGCTAAAAATTCTCGTTTTCCAACCGACGCAAATGCAGTAAAAACATTTTCTTTTCTGGTATACTCGTATTACCCTTATCAAGTTACATAAATGCACAGTAGTTTTTCTCGTATAAGTTAAAAGGTCTGTACAAAAAAGTCATCACCTAAATAAAATGCCTGTGGGTACAAATGAGTTAAAAATTGGATTGTGCAGGACGCACCGGCCGCACCGAGTCGGGGGCGCCCGGCCAGGCGGCCAGGCCCAGCCACTCCATGGCAAACGGCGAACCGCCCGGAAAACAAAACTTTAAAAAAGGGGACCAAAACTTTCGCAAAAGACGTACAAAAATACATAAGCTACAAACGACACACAGACGAGTGTGCGAAACAACGTAATAACAATGCCAACAAAACAAACGCGCACACCCCGTGTGCCTTCTCCGAAAACAAGATGAAACGAAAAGTTTTTAATTCAAAACTGAAAAACGCGTCGTATACGTTTGGAAACCCGCGCAAATAAGGCGGCGGGTCTGGGCGTCGGTCCGTTTGCAATGGAGCGGAGGGAGGGGCGTGGGGACCCGGCGGCGGAAGGCCGCAGTCGAACTTGACTTGCACGCGACCGAACTCATCAAGCCCGGCCGCTTCCGCCCCGGGCCGCCCACACACACACACATACACACACACAGACAGACATACACACGCACACACACTCAGGCGTCCCGTCCGGCCGGCACCACACTCATGTCATTCTATGTACAAGGCGTATACTTGAGGCGTATCACAAAGCGTGAGGGCTTCACGCCGGGGCCCTGGCGCCACTGGGGGGCGTGGGGGGCAGGGCCGAGGAGGGGAGGGGCTTAGGGGGGGCTGGGGGTTAGGGGCTGGGCGTGGAGCCGGGCCAGTATCCGGGGCCACCCACCTGCGACCCTGACATGGGCGACGAGTAGTCGCCGTTCATGCCCATGGAGTAGCCCATCGAGTCCTGGCCCGGCGCCGGGGACATCATCGGCGTCGGCGTCCCTTGTGACGGCGGCCCCAGGCTGTAGGGCGAGGCGCCTGCAAGCAAACAACAACAACAACGTGAGCAAACAAACAAAACAGCCAATATTTCGTCGAGGAGGGCGCGTGACGCACATGTGTGTTGTCACGGACGTCCGATTAAAATTTTCATGCCGGGAGTGGCGGCAGAGAGAAAGGGGAGGGGGAGGAGGGGGAGCCGCGCGCGAAGCACCTGGGGCCCGGGTTCAGCCGGGAAGGGCGCACCAGAGGAATAGCGAAAGAGGGCTGGCGAAAAAATAAAAAATATATAATAAAAGCCGCGAGCGCGCGGACCTAACACAACAACATCAATACGCGCGGTTTCCGAAAATTGCCGCCGCGCCGCGCGACGCTCCGCTCCCCGCCCCTCGCAGCCTCTTCGCCGCCGAGTGCCACGGCACCGCCCGCCACGCCGCGCAGCCATCGCGAGGCACGGGGCGGGCCGACGGGGGCCGCTCTCAGAAAAAGAAAAGGGAGCTTCGCAGAGGAAAGCGACGCGCCCGCGCTTTTCCGCGCCTACGGATAGCTAGCCCGCCCCGCCCCGCCCCACCCCGCCCCGCAGCCTAATCCCGGCCGCGCCACCCCCGCCCCGCCGCGCCCCTCCCCACCTCACCCCACCCCGCGCGGCACACAACCATTCAGACTGTCAGGGGCAACATTACACACTCGTGATTTATTAACTCCATTTCGTTTCCCGCCTTTTTTCTCCTCTTCCTTTTCTGCCCTTCCCCCTCTGCCTTTATCCCACCAGCTCAGCTGGCTGGCGGGGCTGGCGCCGCGAGGCCCCGCGCGGCATCGCACGGCCCGGCGTACACAGCCCGGCACAGCCATATTGATAGCTCCCAAAATCTACCTTGGCTCGGCCCACACTCGACTTGCCTTCCGCATTTTTAAATTCCGTTTACTCGACCCCCGCGGCCTCCCCACGGGGACTTCCCCCCGTCGAAAACAAAATCGGAGGAGCGACGCCCCGACGCCGCCAAGGTCCGCGAGAGATAGAGAGAGGGAGAGAGAGAGAGAGAGGAGAGCCGGGCGGCACGATGGACGACGACGCGGCCGCCGTTAACCGCAGCACAAAAATAAGATTGGCCGAGCGAGGCGGAGAGAAGAGACCGGTGCGGCAAGGTCGGCGTCGCGGCGGGGCGGGGCGGGTCGCGTCGATGCGGATAGAAAGGGAGATAGAGAAAGGACAACGCAGCGCCAAAAACTACTTGGGTCCGGTAGAGGCGGCGGCGGCAGCAGCAGCGCCACTGGCGGCACCAAACAAAAGCAGTGTCGGGAATCGAGAATAACTTCAATTGAATCGCTGCTCATCTGCAAAAAAAAAGGGAGGGCGGAGGGGCCGGCCAACAACACCCTGCCCACCACTCGGTCGCCCCCTCACCCCCAACTAAAACCAACCGACCACCGCGCGGCCGCCGCGGCAGCTCAGACTCCACCCAACCGCAGTGCAAAGCAATTTCCTCATTTCTCGCAATTTCCATTTAACGCAAAAAAAGGAAGGAAAAAAAAAACATAATCGGGGCGAGCAAGCAAACGGCAGAAAGGGCGGTCGGCGAAGGGGAGCAGGGGGCAGCAGGGGCACAGGCGAGGGGGAGGGGAGGGGAAGCCGGTTGGAAGGAATGAGATTTATTCGAGTCAATCTAAAATCGCGCAAGCGAGATGCTCAGCGTTCAGGCTTCGGCTGCCTTGGGCTGCCTTGGGCGCTCGGCCCGCCGCGCTCGACCGGCCCTGCGCCCGACCCATTCAGCCGGGACCTACAGGCCGGGGCTAGTCCGGGCCGAGCCGAGCCGGGCAAGGCTGAGCCGAGGCGCCGCGCGCCGAGCGAGTACGCGGACCGGAAAAAAGCACGACAAAAATGAGAAAAGAAAACAGCAGGGCCCTGTCGATTTCCGTTGGAAAACCTCGCAAGCGGCCGGACCGGCACCTCTTGGAGGCAGCTGCGTCCGGCACGCGGCCCCGCAGCTTGGCACCCATTGGCACCGCGGCGTCAATGATTCGCAGTGCCGGGCTGCTACCCTCTTCCCGATCGGCCTATCGCATAATCCGGGCGAAGCGGAGCGGAGCGGCAAAACTAACATCCAGCCTCCCCCGCCGGGGCCAAGCCAAGGGCCAAGCCCGCCTCCCCGCGGCGCGACTGCCGACGACCAAGACTTTGTATTTTCAACATTCTTCTCTCATCCCAGCCTTTTCGTCGCCAGCGGAATTCTTATCACTGCCGTCGCCAAAAACTCCGCCAGCCAGCCAGCCAGCCGCCACTGCCACTGCGGGGACTTTGGAGCGCGCGAGGGGGAGCGAAAAAAGCAGGGACCGAGGGAAAGTTTGCGCTGTATTATGAGTTTGAGATCTCTCGGCCCGGCCCGCCCCCTCCACGCATGCAGCGCCAAAGGGCCCCACTGCAACTCCCTCCGTTCTACACAACACAGTGGCGAAAGAGGAAAGAAAAAAATATAAAATATATAAATATAAGTCGCTTTTGCAACGTTGCAGCAGCAGTGGACAGTTGGCGGTGGCAACGCTGCGCGTCGGCGTTTCGTGAGTAGGTCAGCGCCGCGGTCCGAGGCCTGACTCGCGCCCCCGGTAAAAACAGCCCCCCTACGGCACGCCGCGCGGCGCAGCGCGCAGCGCCACGAGCGGCCTTTAACTAGATTTATGGAGGGCGGAGGGGCGGGGCGGGGAGAGTCGGCATTATAGGCCAAGTTCAAGGGGCACGCGCGGCGGGGCGGGGCGGGGCGCGCGCCAACTATTAATCAGATCAAAGCGACTCGAACCTCAACGAGGCGAGGCGAGGCGAGGCAGCGCGTCATGCGTGTGTCGCACTGCCGCACTCCGCCGGCCGGCGACGCAGGGCGACGCAAACAACCCCAAGAAAACGCAAAGATACTCGGGAAGAGCGCGGCGGGCCGCAAACAAAGGCGGGCGGGGGGCAAGGCAAGGCCCTGCTTGTCGTCGCGGGGGCTGCGGGAAGGGGCGGCGGCAGCGCGCGGGGGCGTTAGACTCGGGGTGGTGGGGATGGGGGCAGTTTCGGCGCCCAGCGGCCGCCGCCCGCACCGCCTGCACTGCCACCGACCCAAACAACGCAGGCACGGCAGCCGCGGGGAACGCTGCTGTGACGAAGGCGCCAAATATTCGCCGGCAGACCAGTCGGCACCACCACTTCACCCATGCGCCCCGCCGGGGAACAAACCCGTCGCCAATTTTCGAAAGACTGTTGGAAAAGGTGGGAAAAAGACTGCTGTAAAAAACAGCGCGGCCGGGTCGGCGCGTCATGGCAACCCTCCAGGTAGAGGGCATCCTTCGGCAGGAAGGCTGTGGGTGGCGTGGGGCCCCCGGCCTCGGCGGGGCCCGGTTGGGCCGGGTTGGGCCGGGGGGCACATCTCCTGAACTGTCGAGAGCAGCGAAATGGAAATAGTGGAGCTAGGGCCAGACCAGGCCAGACCAGGCCACGCCACGGCACGCCAACCCCCTCTCAGCGGCATTCGGCCCCATTCCCAACATCGTCACGAAACGGTGCACTCCTCCTGAATACACAATACGTCTCCACGCTGCCGGCCGGGCCGGGCCGAGCCCACCGCGCGGCGCGGCCACCCCCTCGCCGGGGCCCTCCCCACCCCACCCCACCTCACTTGCAATTTCTCCCAAAATTCATCCCCTCCATCCCCTTCGCCAGGTCAGCCCTGCGCCCTTATAATGCCAGCCCAAGGACGCGTCCTCAGCCACGGCCCCGAACAAAAAAAAAAGCCCAAGGTGGGAAGAAAATAAGTCACCGCGGGATTTGAACCCGGGCGACAACCGGCTCAAATAACCGCGTGTGGCACCGGCAATATACGAGTCGCACGTGAGTGGACTCCCTACCTCGCCCTGCTTCCGTCGCGCCTCGCAAATCGAAGCGCACGTTGCGGCGGGGCGGAGTGGAGCGGAGTGGAGCGGAGCGGACGCGCACGGACCGCATAAAACAGCCAGGGCTGCGCGGGGCTGTGCCGATCCAGATCGCACCCCGAAAAACAAGCCGCACACACACGCACGCACCGGCGTGCACTAGCCAAGGTGCCCCGCCCCTAGCCGGGCCCAGCCCCCCGGGGAAGGCCGGCCTGTCCCCGCGGGGCGCCCCCGCCTCGGCCCCCTCACCCCCACCCCCGGGGGGTCTTATCGAGAACTGACCTGGGGGTAGGATGGCAGCGCGCATTTGCAGTAAATCAGGCCGGCGGCAAGTCGAAACCGAGGCGGGGTGCGGCGGGGCGGGGCGGCTGGGGTAGGTTAGGAGGGGCGGGGCGGGGCGAGGCGCACATCAGTTAGCCTCCACTAAAAAGCCAGTCGACCGCCACCACTATGGTCCGCCGCGAGCGGAGGGACTCTGGACTCGCGTGTATTCGTTAGACGGCGGGGCGCGGCCCGGCGCGGCACCCCGAGATGGCAAGACGGATAGAGCGGGGCGTCTCCTGGCTTTTTACCCTTCCCGACCACGGGCGCGGGGCCGCGCGGCTTGGCTCGCCTCTGGTTCGGTTTCTTTTGTTTCCCCGGCGCCTTATCTGCGGCGCCCCGCCCCGCCCCATCCCGTTATCACCCGCGGCCAGGCCCTCCCCTGCCTCCCCCCGCAATCTCCCTCCGCCATCCGCCTCGCCGTCCTTCGCTTTGCAGTGCAGCAACGTCACTGAGCGAACGAAACAGGCCGCGGGTTCGATCCCCGCCGGTGCAACGGGCGTGCAGCGACAGCGTTTCGTCGCTCCGTCTCTCTCACACCTAAAAGGAGCGCCCCATGAGTGGGAGGGAGACAGAGCGACGAAAGGGCTGTTCAAAATCGGTCCGCAGAACCAGGCGAGATTCCTTGCCTCCCGTTTCGACGGCTGCTTGCCTTCCAGCGCGACGCGGCGGCGCGGCCCTGGATAAGCTTATCGTTTGACGTGAGCGACGCCCCGGGCGGGGCGGGGCGGCACCGCGCCACACACGGCCAGGCCGCCATGCAAACGCCACGGCGGCCACCCTCATCCGCGCCAAGTCCCTCCCCAGTACTCACCTCGGTCGTCGCCACCCATGCCGGCGGCCTTCTTGGCGGCGTACAGGTTGGCTTCCTCTTGCGCCTTGCCGATGTTCTTCTTGTATCGTATCCGCTTGTTTCCAAACCAGTTCGACACCTGCAACAAACACACCGTCCCGTTAGACAAAGGGCAACAAATCAACGGGGCAGATTCGGGCCAAGCCCCGCCGTCCCAGTTAACTATTCCGCCGTCGTCGTCCACCTTAAGGGGGTGCCAAGTTTGGGCGCCGCGACGCGGCCGGGCCTAGCAGGGCCCTGAGGAGGCGGCCCTGGCTTGCCCTGGCCCTTGGCAGAGCCGGGCAGAGCCCCGTGGGTCTCCCTTCCAGGGCCTCGCAGGCGCAGGGCTCGGACCGGGGCTAAGGGCCAGTCGCCCGGACGGGGCGGGCCGGGCTCTCGTCTTAATCAGCGCCTCGCTTAATGGTCCGTTATCAATATGCAAATGAGAGCGAGAGAGAGAGGGAAGAGGCGACACCGTTAAGCCTGAAAGCGACTAAACGGTGGCCGTCTCATTGAGAGGCCGAGAAATGCGAGCAAAGCCCGCCCGCGCCATTGCCGCGCCAATTACCAAGAAAACAATCAGAGGCTCTTTTCGCGCCTCCTCGAGTTACCCGCAGGTCTTCACTCCTCGCACGCGAGATAACGAGGAATCTTTCTCGAGGCCTCCGCCGTGATCCGCCAGCCCGTTCGCCCGGACCAAAACAACAAAAACACGGTTCGCGCCAATGCCGGCAATCATTGGGAGTCTCTGGCAGTCCCTCGGCCCCACCTGGGATGGGAGGGCTTCGCGGCCCTGCCAGGCGGCCAGGCAGGCAGCCAGCCAGCCCGGCGGCAAGGCCAGGCAGCCAGGCAGGCCCGGGTCGTCCTGACTACCGCCCGCTGAGCGATGGCGAGAGAGTCGGGCTTTAATCAAGACTGGAGGGCGAGGCGCTGCCGCCACCCTCCCGAGCACCCCGCCCGCCCTCCTCCGTCCCGCCGTCCCGCACCTCAGCTAATTGCTCGCTCCCAATCTTAATTGCTATTTTTATCGGATTTTCATTTTCAATATCCCCGGCCGGCTTTCTTTGGGGGCAGAGGCGGCAGCGGCTGGCGGACTCCGCGCCGCAGCGCCGGCCAGAGAGAGAGGGCTCGCCGTAAATCTGCGATGGCTGCCAGCCCCGCCAAGGGCGGCACGCTGTGTGCTAGCTACGTGCCCGGCCTCGGATTTCGCTTTAATAGAGCGATACCCGGTCCAGCAGGCCCCACCGGGCCGGCCTCGGCCGAAGCCAAGGCTGCGTAACGACTTGACGACCTGCTCCTCGTTCCGAAGCGCCACACTCACGCGGCAAACCTCTTAGAGATTACGGGACCAAACCCCAACGCTAGACGCACTGAGCGACACCCACCTGTGAAACGGTGATGCTACACTTCCTCGCCAGCTCCTCCTTGGCCTCCTCCGACGGGTACGGGTTGCTGAGGTGTGAATAGAAATACTCGTTCAGGATCTCCGACGCCTGCTTGCTAAAATTCCGCCGCTTTCTCCTGCAACACGAAAAGTAAAGAAAGGTCAGTACAATGGCGAACCAAGTAAAAGCAACGCTAGCAACAACAACAACAACAATTCCTCCTCTAAAGTCGCGGCCTGCCTGCCGGCATCCACCCCGCCCCGCCCGCCCCTCCAGGCCGCGCCGGGCCTACACACTCAAACAGGCATTCCGACGCGGCTGGAATTTCCTAATAAAACCTGGACGCGCCGCCGTGCCGCGCCGAGCCGCGCCAGACAGATTGATCCGCGGCTGTCGAGACGGCACTCGAAGGCGTGGGCCAGAGGGCGTCTGGGTGCGCGGACACCAAGACACACGTTTCGAGCGCCAGAGTCCGCAATTGGGTGGGACTAGAATTGGACACCGCTCGATTGCTCTTGGAACGAGGTACCCATTGGTCCCTTCGAGCCCTTTGAGGACAGGCCGCTGATCTGACACACCGCGCGCCGCTCCAGCCGCGGAAGGGCACACCGTAAACAAGCGCGCTGCCGCGTCACGCCGCAGGTGCGGCCAACGAGTGTCACTCCAGCGGCCGCGGCGCGCTCCCACTTCTCACCCCCACCCCCGCCCCGGGCAAATAAATAAAAAGTAAATAAACCGAGGCCGCGGCTGGCGGCAAGGACGCAGTAAATAGCGGCCGATTCGAGGATTATGCCGCGACCTACACTGCGAGGAGGGCACCCACCCCAAAACACAAACAGGGCCGGAAAGAAAGCGGGGGAGATGAGGCGGCACGGCCGCGGCACAGACAAGTTTCAAGTAGAAAAGCAGGTACGGGGCGCGCCGGGCCGGGCCGGCCGGGCACTGGGCGCAACGCGGGACTCGGGCGATGCGGGGTAACTTCCCACTCTTCCGCGGTTCTGAATAATGCTCACTCTTTGCAAGTTGAGAGGCGCGGACCCCCTTCCCTCCCCCAGACACCTCGCGAGGAACTTGGAACTCCCCCCCCCTCCCCGGCGTGCCTGCTGCCGCGCACCCGACGCGCCATAATAACATAGACCTTCCCAAAGTTTTCATTATTAAGTTTTTGAAGACTTTGCCAGGAGTTGTAATATAAGTAGAAGTGATGGGTCGGAAAACAGCGTTAAAAGATATGAACTTTGTCAGGGCCCCGGCGGCGGCGGCGAGGAGTGCCGCGAGTGTCCAGGCCCGGCACGCGACAGCAGTGCGGCGCGGGCCCGGGTTCAAGTACCGGCAGTGCCGCGTCGTTTTTTTTCAGCCCCGCACCCCTTGCCTTGTGCCCTTGGAGAGGGTAATCCGGCCTCGCCAGGCAAATTATTTCGAGTGTAGGTGCGCGGCAGTGGCGCCGCACCTGTCCTCCCACTGAGTTACAGCGGACACCATTACCGCCCACGGTCGTGGACGAGGTCGTGGAGGCGGCGGCACCAAGCACCGCCAAGGACCGCCAAGGCAGCGCCAGGGCAGCGCGACGAACCTCCCGGACACGACGCCGGCCTCGCCGACATTGATCAAGCAGCGGTCCGGATCCAGCGCGCCCCGCGCCGCCCACCTAGGCCCGGCGCCCCCGCCGACCGGCCCGGCCGGCCCCGAGCCCCCAGCACCTGCGCGGCGACCCGACCGACCCACGCCACGCGCTCCCCCTCGCCTCGCGGCTGCGCCGGCCCGGCAACTTCGGCGCGGAAAGTGTTCGGGGAGGGCTGAGGCGCGGGGGCGTCAAAACGCAGACGCCATCCCGCCGTCCAGAGACTCGCGGCCATCGCCACGCAGGGAGAGCAAACTACCGAATGCTCCGCGTAGAGAGCACTGCACCGTAAGTAATGGCAACAACGGGTGCGCGAATAACCCGCGGTCGAAAGACGTTCCCACGCACGGGGTATTGGCGGTTCGCGCGGACACACATTCACACACACGTACCTGGCGTCGAGGAACCTGGACCGGAGGATCATGACCGCTTCGCACGTCGACTGCTTGAGCTGCATTTGGATGGACGAGAATTTCTTGTGGATGATCTGCACCATCCGCTCGATCTCCTTGGGCGTGATGGGCCTGGTCCGCGACTGCTCGCGGAGGAGGTTCATTACGTGGGTGGTGAACTCGCTGCAGGCCTGCAAGCACAAACGAAACAGGGTGGTCACAACATGGCCGCGGACAGCAGGGCAGCAGACGACGCAACACGAGCGCCACACGGCTCGAGATGGATGCGCCGGCAAGCTGACTTGTGCGTACCGAGCAACGCCCCGCGCGGAGAGCGCCGCGCCGCGCCGCCCGCCCCGCCTTCCCTGGGGATCCATTACCGGGATGGCTCACTCTCCCCGCCGCCCGCCGCCCCGCGGCCGCTCCTCCCCAGCGCGACATCTGGACCAGGACGCGTTCGGGGAGACCACCCCGTGTGTGAGTGTGAGGGAGACGGCGGGAGTCCGTCTCCTCGCATCCCCGGGGCGGCGGCGGCGGCAGGCCGGGCAGGCCCAGCCCAGGGAGAGGAGGCCGCCGGGCCGCCACCACGAGAGCCAGGCAGGCGGGGCACCCAAACTCATCCGGCAAATGCGGCAGCAGGTCCCCGACGGCGGCGACGCCCCATCGGGGGCACGGCATGGCACGGCACGGCGCGAAAGAGAAGGGAGGCTCACGCCAAAAACGTCACAATTATCACTTTTTATTGTGCACGCCATCGTTGCGTGATGGACGCCGGCAGGTCGAAAGGGGGAAGGGGGAGGGGGGAGGGGGAAGACGACGCGGACGGCACTCATGCCAATGAGGCGGCGGCAACATTCTGCAGACCACCTACGCCACGCCGCGTCCACCCACCACATCCCACTTCGCAAAATTGACTCGCACCAAATAAAAACATAAATAAAAAGAGGAAACGGAAGGGACGGGAGGAATAAAAAGAACAACCCCCAAATAAAAACAACAAAAATGGCCCGGTTCCAGTCGGGCGAGCCTTCGCCTTCCTGCACCCCGAGTAACGACGGCCTTGATAAGCAATTCATTCGGACGCGGCGACGCTGCGCAGGGTGGCCGTGCCTGGCCGCTCTGCCCAGCCCAGCCCGGATGCCCGGTAACAGCCTCAGCCTCGCGCAGAGAGATCCATTCCCCGGGTTCCCTGGACTCGTCCCTGGGCTCGTCCCCGGACGCACCGCGGCGGGGCGGCGACCAATATAAGGGGTTCTCCGCCCCCCTCCCCTCCCTCGGGCCTGGTCCCCGGCCGGCCGGCCGGGCCAGACTCATCCCAGGAACCTGACTTATGAGGACCTTATATACGAGAGGCGAGCGCTGGCCGCGCTGGCTGGCCGCTCGGTCTGTCCGGCCGGCGGGTGGCACTGGCGGGGCCACTGGCGAGCCACTGGCGAGCCACTGGCTGGCGGTGGCGAGGCCGGCATTAAGGGCGGAAGGCCGAACGGGGAGAAACAAGAGGAAGTGGAAACCTCGGCGGGGGGAAATAACAAAACGGAGGGGGAAGAAAAGAAAACGAAAAAGGGAAAGGAAGCAAAAAGAAGGCGGCGCGACTCGCTGGCGAGACGTACGACGGCGTCCTGGACGCAAGGAGGGGCAAAGGAGATAGAAAGAGAGAGACAGAGAGCGAGAGAAAAAAAAGAAGCAATAAAACGAAAAAAAAAGAAAATGCAGCGAGCGTTCGAAAAAGATCGGTTGGCGCGACGAGGCTGTATTTCAGAACGCTTTCAGTGTTTTTCAGCGCCTTATAGACAGCACAGCTTTCGGTCCAAGATACGCGTGAATTAGCACTCTGGCTCCTCCTTGCCCAACTATTTCCAGTGCAGGCGACGCCGAAGCCGAGGCCGAGGCGTGGCGGTCCCAGGGCGACCGAACAGCGCCACCGGCAGGCGATCTCCCCCACATCCCAGGACACCTATCCCATCCTATTCCAGGCCGGGCAGGGCCGGGCAGGGCAGGCGGGCCAGGCAAAACCCCCCGACCCTCCGCCATCCCTTGCTTCCTGCCCGGAAATTGGAAGCAGCCATTAGGAAATAGCATGTCGCAATCAAGGATTTGCCGCCGAAGGATATGCCCGGCTGTGCCTGGCCTGCCGGACCGCGGCCGGGGCCCAGGGCTGCCCAGAGCTGCCTGCCTGCCGGCTCGCATCAAGGATACGGTCGACGTGACCAACGCGGCCGAGCACACGCCTCACCGCAGCCAGGCACCGCCGGGAATAAATCTGCAGCGCGCGAATCTCTAACTACACTCACTAGCGCAAACAAACAAAAACAAAAAAAAACACCGGCCCTCACCGGGAATCGAACCCGCCCCCACCCGCGGAAAAAAAGAGAGGGAAAAAGTGGTGCAACGACGACACGGCGCAACGTCGGACCGAGCCGTGCGGAAATTGAACGGAGGGAAAAGGAAGAGGGGGTCGGCGCCGTCTTTTCCGGAAGGCGTACATTACGCTTTGCATTCCCGAGGCGCGCGGAGGGGAGGGGGTAAATCAGAGGTGCGAGGTGGGCCAGCGCGACCGGGCCAGCGCCAACGGCGCCCACATCCTCCAGCAGCCCGAGATGGCCGTCGGCCCGATCGCAAACACGCTGCTACCGCAGAGCCGGGCCCGCCGGACGTCGGCCACGTCGCCCCCGCCAACAAATCAAACGGCATCGCGGCATCGCGGCCGTGGGGCGGGGCCGGGCGGGGCGGCCATCCGCTTGTTCCGGCCGAAATGGCCCGGCGAGGCCCGCGATCGCCCGGCGCACACAACGCACAGCGCCGCCGGACGGCCGTCGCGACAGTCGTTGGCCAGACGTCACCGGCGACGTCCCGGAATGTGTATTAGCCCCGGGGCCACGGCACGGCGCGGCGCGGCGCGGCACGGCACGGCACGGCGCCACCGTGGCCGTGATGAAATTCCGACATTCCGCCTGCCACACGGAGAGAGTATCGAGCCGATCGGCACGGCGGGGACGAGGAGGGCCAACGGGTTGCCGAGGAAAAGAGCAGCCGGGGAGGGGGAGCGGAGGGGATCACGACGAGCACCGCGGCCAGGCCACGCCCCGCCACCGAGAGCGCCAACGTCGCCACACGCGCTACCGCGGCGCGGCGCGCCAAGTAGCCATCCGCCCCGCGCCGCGCCGCCCCGCCACCCCCACGTCAAGGAGCGCGTCCTCCGCTAATTTGCAAGGCTGTCAGGTGCAGTGCGGCAGCCTCGGCGAGAACACCACCAACAACAGCGCGGGACTCGCCTCAAAATATTTACCGCCAAGAGAGAGAGAGACAGAGCTAGAGGAAAAGGGGAAGAGAGTTTCACTCAAGGTAATGAGTCGAGTTTATCGAGGGCATGGCGCGGGGCGCACGGCGAGCAGCACGGCGAGGAGCACCATGACGAGGGCGGCGGACACGCAGCTTCACGGCGTTTGAGCGCCACGTCGTAAAGAGACCCGCTTTTACTACCGACGCTCAGCAGCCAGCCGCGCAACCCCGTCCCGTCCCGTCCCAGTGCGGGCTCAGGCTCAGGGCCCCGCCCCGGGCCCGACCCGTCCCGCTCTCGTGGTTTCACTCAAAACACTTTACGCGCCAAGGAGGTGCTACACGGGTTTAACTCTTCATTAACCTACCAAGCTGCACAGACTGACGCAATAACGCTTTAACGAGCCTCTAGTAGACCCCGCGACCCCGCGCCCTCCGCCCCGTCAAGGCCCGGCCGCTTGTCACGACGGGATATTGCGCGCCGGCCTTCCAGCGGCCACGAGGAGCGCCTGACGAAGGCGGGGTAGGCCGGCCCGCAACACACGCCCGGCCGGCGGGCCGGCCCACGCCGCAGGGGCGCCCCACCCGAGGCCAGCTCGACGGCCAGCTCGACGGCCAGCTCGACGGCCAGCTCGACGGCCAGCTCGACGGCCAGCCGCCGGCTCGACGGCCAGCTCGACGGCCATCTCGACGGCCGGCACGCAGCCGCCCGAACCGAGCGCGGCGCGCGGGGCGCCGCCATTCAATTTGCATTTCTTTACTGGCGCGCTGGGGTGGCGCCCGGCATCAAAGGGCGACAAAGAATTACGAATACTTTCTGAAAAGAGCGACTCGACCGCGGAGTGCGGAGCGGGGCGCCAAGCCGTGGCGGGGAAAGAAAGGGGGCTGACGCCGAGTGCCGCGCTGGCCGTACTCTGTCGCCAACTTGGCCGAATACTTTTAGTTCGAAAACGGCGCCGACGGCAACTGCAGGCCGGCCAGCCGGGCAGACAAGGTGGCGTGGCCGTCGAGGCCCTGCAGCCCCCGCAGCCCCACTGCCAGTGCCCAGCCCCAAGTTTTAGGGCTTCCTGGGGGCGGGGCGCGGCGGAGCACAGCGGGTATTCACTGCCACTTTTTATACTTTTATGGGGCGGGGCGAGTCCGGCCGGCCGACTCTCTGGGCGGCACCACTCGCCTCGCCAGTCGCCTCGGCGGCAGCGGGCGGCGATCTCTCTCCAATTCACCCTTCGCCATTCTATTCTGGAAAACGGAGGCAACGCAAAGGGACCGGGTTTGTCGATGGGGACGCAGCGGCGCGTTGCGCCCCCACCCCCGCCCGTCCGCCCGCCCGCTCGGGGGTTCCGTCAGACAGACCGCCCGGCCGAGGGCCCGGCTGTGCACATACCTGTTCGTATTTCTCGAGTTCCTGGTGGTAGATTTGCCTGATCTGCGCCAGCTTGGCCCGGTAGTCCGAGTGCTCGATGGCGTTGTCCGGCTGGCCCGGTCCTCCCGACGCCGCGGCCGACGCCGACGCCGCCGCCCCCGCGCCGCCTCCCTTCTCGGGCCCGGCCACCCCCTCGGCGATCAGCATGTTGTCCAGCCTCATGAGCTGCGGGTCGGGCGGCTCCTCCTCCTGGGTGTTGCGAAGGCTCAAAACTGGAACACACAAAGCAAACAGGGCCGTCAACAACGTTGAAAAACAAAAACCATTTTGTCAAAAGAAAAAGAAAGTCGAACCTATCCGAGTAAAAAAAAAATCAGTCTGTGGGATAGGAAAAGGGGAAAAAAGGCTCCCCGTGTTGGAGCGCGCCACATATCACTTCTCTTTATACCTGCCCAACCAGCAAGGGCAAGGCGGCAAGGGCAAGGCAGCACGCCCACTCAGCCGCCAGCCCGCCACCACTTCCAATCTCTCTCCCCTCCAGCCTCCGGGCCTCCGGGCCTCCAGCCGGCGCGCGCTGCCATGCACTTCCCGATGGAAGCGCGTGTAAACAGGTCACGCATCCAACAAATGGCCAACGACACCCCGAGGTGGCGGCGCGACGGCGCGCGGAGAGAGAGCGAGAGAGGCGGCTGCTAAACCGCGGCAAAACGACACGCCGAGACGGACAGAGATGAGAGGCGACAGGAACAATCCGACGCTGTAACGCGATACCCGTCCTGCCCGTCCTGGTGCCGGGACCGGCCGCGTCAACCCCTGCCTGGAGTCCCGGCGCGGCGCGGCCCGGTGCAACAACGGGAACCAAATACAACAAGAAAAGGAGAGGGTGGGGGGGAGGGGATGCATATCTACGCTACTCTACACTAGCCAACAAAGGGGCACGCCGGCACGCCGCACACCTCCACGCCCTGGCCTGCCCTGGCCCCGCGGCCCCGCCCGGCGCCACACCCGCGCACAATACAATCGGGCACGGGGACGGGGGTGACGGCGGAGGGGAGGATCAACTTGAAAGGCTTTCAGCGCCGGACAAGAGTCGCTCTCGCGCGGCCTGTTTAATTCAGACATAAATCTCTCCGTCTCTTTTCCATACTCTTTCGCCCCCCTTCCTCCCTCTCTCTTCCTCTCACTCGCTCTCTCCCGCACTCTGGCGCGCGACCCAGAGAGCGCCGCGGCGCGGCGCTCGCAAGAGAAGGAGGCATCTGATAAAAATGAGATTAATGTTTGATTTATTGACAGCCATTCAAGGAGCCCAGATATTGAGATATCGCGTCGCTACGTCGCCTCCACTCCATCGCCGAGGCGCTCTGCGCGCCCTGCCCGGCCCTGCCGGCCCTGCCCGGCCCTGCCGCCTGATTCCGGAGAGAGGCTGTCTCCGTCGCACTCGCGGCGCGTCTCGAAGGGGTGCGAGAGAGAGAGGAGTGGCTCAGCAGCTCCTTGTCCTGCCGGCGACTCGGCTCCGCGCTTCCTCCACCATAAATTAAGTCCGCCTTTCTCCACGGCGCGTGTGTCGCCCTTCACCCTGTTGCCAACCGAGCAAAACAAGATTCCTTCCCACCAAAACGCGGCACCAAATTCCCCCTCCCCCCCAACGTTTTGACACGGCATGGCCGTCGTCGCTTAGTGAGGTTTAAACAGCGGCACGAGGCACGGGGTGGGTGGGAGCGAGAGAGAGACAGAGAGAGGGGGCCGCGAAGGCTGAAACATGACTATGTCGATACTAATGATGGGACCCATGTGCACACGGGCTAAGTGCGGCCGGGCCGGGCCGGGCCACGGGAGGGCGGCGTCGCGCCGCAGGGCGGCAGCAGGGCGGCAGCAGGGCGGCGCGGAGACACTGCCAAAACAGCGCCACTAAATTCCCATCCGCACTCCGCAGCGCCAGCCAGCGGCGGCCTGACGCGCCGCGCCACGCCACCCTCCGCAATCAATAGTCCGGGAGGCAGCGGCACTCGCGACAACGTGCAACGCCCGGCCGAAGAGCATCCAGGGCTGCTTCTCCTCCTCCGGGTGAAAACAAAGACCGCCGGCGGAGAGGGCGACACTCCACGCCGCGCTGCACCGGCGGCCAGCACTCGCAGCACTTGTTGCTGCTGCAGGTGGAGACGGACATAAAGCTGGCATAAAGCAGGCATAAAGGGCGTCGTAAAGGGCGCCGGCCTCGACGTCCTCGACGCCGTCCTTGACCCAGCAGACAGACAGGGTGGCCGACCCGCGCAACGCCGTCATCACCGTCATCGCCGCCGCCACACTGGGAAACGGCGCCGGAGGAGGAATCGAGGGAAATGAGGAAAGAATGGGGGAACGGCATTGCAGCAATAACCGATACTTAAAAGGACGCTCAGCGCGCCGCCCCGCCGCCACACCCCAAGACCGCAGCAATGAAGACAAAGTGTCGGCCGGCGGAATGAGAAATGGTAATGCTCTCGGCAATCAAATAAATATTTTTCTGTTAAAAAAAGTAAAACAAAACGTCGTTTGCCCATTTCGAGCGGAACAAATCCAAGCAGCAGAGGCAGCGGCGGGACGGCGCCTGGCGGGTAGGCAGGCCCGGCACGCAGCGCCGCCGCCGGACAGCCTGCCGCCACGGCGTTCGCGCCAGCCCACCGCGCCACTTTCTTAGTGTATCCATATTTTTTGGAGTGTTCGATTCTCTCTCTGTTTTTTGGCAGGGTCGGACGCCATCACGCGACGGCGCCCGGGCGCCGTGGATCGAGCAAACGGTCTCCTTGGCGGCCTGGAGGCCCCGGAGGCCGAGGGAGGAAGGAGGGAGGGAGAAAAAAATATGGCGGGAACGAGCCGCGTGTGCTGCTTTAATGACGTCGCCACTGCAAAGCGATGCCTCACACCTGCTGCGAGAGCGAGAGAGAGAGAAAACAAGTGCAAACTACGAAAAAAAGGCCGAAGACGGCGACGCGATCGCGATTGCTTCCGATGACACAGAAACGCGCAGTGCACTGTGCCAGCCCCGGCTGCCTGCCGCGCACCTACACTGCCGAGGAAGCCATAATTCTCACGGCCGCGTATCGCACGTCCGCTCGCCCATCTCCAGGGCCCATCAATTCAAGAAAACAGACGACAAAAAAAATAAAAATATATATAACACATCTAGTAATCATTTTCCCTCCCTTACACCACCTCCGCGCCGCCTTCTGGGCTTAATTCTTTTAAAACCGCCCCAGGAAATAACGCCATTACTATTCATCGCGGTGCTGGCTGGCTGCTGGCTGGCCGCCTCGCACTGCCCGGCCGGCCCGCCAGTCCGGCGGCGGGAAGGTGTGTCCGGGCTGGCCGGGCCGCCGCCGTGAAATACGGCGAGAACACCCTTATTACCCACTTCCAACAAACAGTGTCATTGGCACACCCCACGGCCGGCCGGCCGGGCTGGCCCACAGTGCGCCCACACGGCCATTAGCAGGCTCACACAATACTCGAGGACTCGTGCCAAACCCGGGCGGCCGGGCCAGGACACTCCAAGAGGGATCGGACCCGAAACCGCCCACACTTGCAGCGCAGCGAACGCAGCGCGGCCGAGGCGGCGCGGCGGCCAGCCAGGGCAGGCAGCACCAAGGGCAGACCTCCAGGGCAGAACTCCAGGGCAGAACTCCAGGGCAGACCTCCAGGGCAGACCTCCAGGGCAGACCTCCAGGGCAGACCTCCAGCACCGCAGCAGCGGCACTTACTCAATGGAGAGCTCGCCAACCGTTAGTTCCACAAAACGGAACAGAAAAGAGAAAAAAAAAACACACGCACATTTTAACCCCCACGCTCAGACCTCTGTTCTTTCTTTCTGTCCGAGCGAAATGTGAATAACCACGACGGCCGCTGAGCCTGCCAGCAGTGCGGTGTCCCTTAGCCGGGAAGCATACAGTGACACGACACCTAGCACACACGCACACACACGCGCAAAGAAATAAGGGTGGCGAGGCCGGCGGGCCGGAGGGTGGCGGCGGACATATTTCAAGAGGACTGGACCGAGGCGAGGCCGTCCGAGTGGGGCCACTGCAAGGGCTGCGGGAGCTGCCTGGGGGGACGTCCGAGGGACGTCGGCCGGACGGGGCAGCAGCTCGGGGATTTAGGGGCCGTTTTGGGTTTAAAGCGAGCCCTGGGACGCGGGCCCTGCGGCACACACAAGGTGAGACAGAGACACACTCGCGCGCGCCGCGACGACGGGGAGGACGTGCAGGGCCAGCAGGCAGCAGTCCGTCCGCCTGTCCGAGCCCAGCCGCCGACAGCGGCCTTATTAGCGGCTCATTACCAGCAACAACAACAGCAAAACTTTGGCCACAACAACAGCAAGAGCGCGCCGGCCATTACCTAAATCTCCTTAGAAAGGTGGAGTCACGTGGGCGGGCCGCCGCAAGGGCCGCCAGGGCCGCCGGGCGGAATCTCCCTCCATAACAAAGTTTGGCGCCAAACATCAACAAGGCGAGCGGCGAGGCAATGGAGCGCGGACCGCGGAGGAAAACAAACCCAAAGCCGGGAAAGAGAGCCCAAGAAATGCAGCCGCGTTGGGCGGCAGTGTACCCGCGAGGCCGGCGGGGCCGGCGAGGCCCCCGACGACGCCGCCTCCGCCGCATTAGGAGGGAAACACGCAGTTAAGCCCGCAATAGATCGAATTGGAAAGGCAAGGTTTGCGAGGCCCCGGGAAATGGATGGGCAGGCGCCACCAAAACCCTCGGACGGGGGGCCGGGCCGGGGGCCGGGCCGGGCTGGGCTCGGACGGGGCGTGGGCGCGGCAGAGACCGGCCTCGGCGTGGCGAAGGCCTCGGCGTGGTGGAGGCCTCCCCTTATCGGCCCCGGCCTGGCCCCGGCCGAGGCCCCGGCCGCCCTGCGCGCCTCTGATACTCCGCAGATACGAGACGGGAGAGCCCCACTCGATCGGAGAAACATCGCGCAGACTCCCCTGCAGCGGCGCAGCGTACCGCCACTTTTTCTTCCCTTAAAAAAAAATTGCAAATTGCAAAAAGAAAAAGTTAACTAAAAAAAGTAACACAGGGCATCCAATTAAAACGGCAGCGAGTGGTAGGGCCCCCTCCCCAAAGTTCCGGTTTCGGTTTTCCCCGGCCGGCCTCATTAAAGGCGCCAAAACAACACGTTGATGAAATATTAAACCGCGCCGGGCAGCGAGCCTGCCTCGGCCTGCCCGGTGGACCGGCACGCTTCAAAAACAAAGCGCAGCCACACTTCAAAAACAGCTCCAAAAAAGGAGGAGGGC